GTCCTGCCCCCGCCGCTGTCGCAATCGCAAACGCCGTCAACTGCTGGTGTTGATGTGGCGGCTGCGGCTCACAGGGTCGTTCCCGCGGCCAGGTTCCATCAAGTGTATTCCGGTAATAACATGCCAGTATTCATGGAATGCGACGACGACGACGGCGACTTCTTCTGGCCCGGGAGCTTCCGACAGGTGGATCCGGTGGCGATTTCGGATTCGGGTTCGGATCAGAATTCGATTCCGGCGACTGAAGGCGTGGATAGCTCGTTGCCAGATCTAACGTTGAGACTCTAAGGACTTAAAACTCTGTTTTTTTATTACCGATATCAAGTTTTTGTCATTCAACACAGATCCATTTTTCATTTAGCCTTTAGGATTTCTGAAAAAGGAATTCGATGATCTTTCATATCTCAATTCAATCAGTTATAATTTTAGAAGTTTAGGTGCATTAATGTGTTAAAATTAATGTTTATGTGCTCATTTGATAAATTAATTAGATTATAGTTTTTTATGTCATTTTCCACTCGATTCGTAGAAAATGTGTTCATTCCCTTCATTTTCGGGTTCCGATCGAGGCTGACCCGTCAAAATTTTGGTTAAAACCGGTATATGGTTAAGGCACCTTATTTCGTTTGATCTATAATTTAATGTCTATAATCTGCCAACAGAATAACCATATAGCAAATGTATTGCGCCATTAGGAAACATTTATGTTTAGTTGTCACTTTTGGAAGAGTTCTTTGTCTGGTTCAAATGAATTCCGTTGGTTTGGTTGGTTATTTCTGGCTAAGCTGGTACGGTTCAATTCGGCAAATATTCATATACATATTTAAATCACTATTTATTCGAACCGTGGATCTATTCATACATATTATTCTCACAATCATGCGTCCCATTTTCTCTCTTGTATTTGATTTATTTGCGAGATGTTACTGTAAACCACGTTTTAATTTAATTAATTCCTTTTTAGTAATTAAATCGACAACTCAAAAATTAAAAATAACCGTTATATATAGAAATTAGGGAATTTTGGAGGAAAGAGGGATCTCTGGATTTAGTTAGGAGATAATATTCTAACCGATCATCAGAATCCAAAATTAGCAAAAACACAGAGATTCGTTCGTCTTCTCCATCACTGATTTTGTTTGGATTCCGAGAAATTTCGGATTTTCTCATCCCTTTTCCTTCATTTATTATCTTCCTCCATTTTTCGGATCAATGGGCTTTAGGACAATGTTCCACAGGAAGAAGCAATCGGACGGATCTTCATCAATGCCGCCGGCGAACGGTGGCACGGTGGCCCGACTCGGATCGGAATCGCCGTTCCTTATGAAGAATCGCTCCGGGAAAACAGAGATCAGAGAACTCGAGGAAGTGTTCAAGAAATTCGACGTGAACGGCGACGGGAAGATCTCGTCGTCGGAGCTCGGATCGATCATGGCGAGCCTCGGCCACGAGGTCCCGGAGGATGAGTTGCAGAAGGCGATCACGGAGATCGACGGAGACGGCGACGGTAACATAAACTTCGAGGAGTTCGTGGAATTGAACACGAAGGGGATGGATCAGGACGATGTGATGGAGAATCTGAAGGACGCGTTCTCAGTGTACGACATCGACGGGAACGGATCGATCTCGGCGGAGGAACTTTACGAGGTTCTGAGGAGTCTCGGGGACGAATGCTCGATCGGGGAGTGTCGGAAGATGATCAGCGGCGTGGACAAGGACGGCGACGGATCGATCGATTTCGAGGAGTTTAAGGTTATGATGATGATGGGATCAAGGCACGACGCCATGGGAGGTCAACCTCGGAGGAGTTTCACAGATTGATTTCTCCTCTTCTCCTTCTTCTTCTTCTTCTTCCTCTTCTTGTGTATTTGATGTTCTTTTTTTTTCCTTATTCCAATGCCCTTTTTTTTTTGTTGCGATTTAGACGGACTTTATGCCAAAAAGGAAAAACATTATTTCTCCTTTTTGTAATTTAAAGTTCAATTCTGTTTTTTTAATCTCTAAACTTGAATATACTTATGTTGGTAATTATGTTTATTTACTAAGGAATGCTCATAATTTAAATGAAATAACCAGATTGTATGGAAATTAACTAAGCATGATGCAAAAACAATATGAAACATAGAATATATGTAGTTATGAGAAATTTTTAAAAAAAAAGAACATGAACAATCCAATGAAGTTTAGTCAAATTCCATTTTAGAAGTGAGAAAGGGTTTTTTTTTTTCTCCTTCAAAACTATATTTTTTTATTATCATATATTGTAACATTTTCGTCTAATATGAATGAATAAACACTACAATTCGAGTCCCTTTTCCTCTTTAGACAAATATACAAAATTAAATCGCATAAATACATAAATAAAAGTTTGCATTTTCCGACGGTTGATTATAGTCGCTGATCTAAAATAAAAATCAAGCAAGTGACTCTGATTTGGTGTTAAAAGAAACTAAATTTAATTTGGAATACTAACTTGGGAATTATTTGTTATTATAATTTTGAAAGAAAAAAAGAACATGGGCTTGAGTGAGTCACTCAAAAGGCCCGGCCCACTGGACTACGAGAAAGACATCAAGAATCCACAAGAAGAGCCTTGATTCTAATGTACATCAAATATTACACTGGAGTTCCCATTCTTCTGGAGGCAAGTTCAAGTTCGAGTCAGTCATGTGATATAAATCAGAATCCATTCTTTGTTTTCTCGATTTTTCTTCGGTTTTAGTTTAACAGCTACAAATCATAATTCGAACTTAGATAACTCAACCGGTGAAAGTAAAACATCTATCCCGTCCTAAATTCGAACTTCAAATTTGAGAAAAAAACATATATAATCCACAATCACATGGATGGTTCTAAACTCTAATATTAGTACGAGTTTTGGTCTAGGATATTCGATTATAAAAAAAATTACAGATCATACATTTTATATATGCACATCAAAATCATACTGTATTTACAGTGAGGATGAAAATGCAGTAAGATGTTTTTTTAATATTATTCATTGACATATGCACATCGTATATGTGTAGTATAGGTGCAATACGTAATCGATCATAGGTTAAAACATTATTAAAATTACAATACTGCATCTATATTGTATCTCAATATGGATCATATTCGTTATAAACCAATCTTATTATATAATTTTTAAAATTGAGATCGTAATAGCGTTGGGTTTTTTTTTTTAATCGGAATTGAGAAACACTAAACGACCATGTAGCGAAATGTTTTCTATATTATTCGTTGATATATGTACATCCATAATATCGATAGAATATGTTATGTATAAGAATTCTACGTGTAAATTACGTACGGTACTATCATCATCATCAACATCATCTCAATAAAACAGACAGGACAGCCCCTTGACGGGTCCGTCCCCTGACCCGAGGCGAGACCGAGAACGAGAAATCTGACGTGGAGTGATCTCTAAGAGCACCTTTCTCGTCGGCTGCCCTATCTTATAGAACTCTCTCTTGATCTTCATGACTTGGCTGTGTATCAGAACACCATGATCACACCACGTGTCCTTTCTGTTTTCATCACCCACCTCCTTCTTGTTCTCCATTTCCGACCAAACCCTAGCTAGAAGAAGAAGAAGAAGAAGAACCTGTCTGAAAAAACCAAGCCCTGCCCTTTATTATGGGTAACTTAGTTTCTTCTCTGTATTGAAGAGGGAAATCACAACGGAGTCGTGTTATATATGCTTGTTTAAAGAAGGATTTAGGGCACATATACATATATACATATACATATATGTGTGTGTGTGTACGAGAAGAAGAAAAGCCTCATTCTTCTGGATTCTTGGTCTCTTTGACTCAAACTGGTCGTTTGTTTGACTGGATTGCCTTTTGTTGACCGTGCAAAGAAAAAAAAAAAGTCAAATTCCCAGGACGTGTGTTTTTATTTATTTATTATTATTCTGTGTCGGAAACCAAGTTTTACACGTTTTCGTTTGCATTGACTGTCCGAATGAATACACAAAACTTATCTTGTTATATGACACAGCGTGGATATTGGCCTAACTAAAACTATCTTGTTCTTACAATTAATTACTTGCCTGAAAACAAGGAATTTGCAACAAAATATTGTATGATCGTATTTATTGGAACTCTCACACCTCTATTATATTGTAAACTCTTCCTATTTTCTGGAGAAAAAAATATACACTACCTTAAATTGTATCCGAATTCAAATTTTTTTATGAAAATTGTCTTACATATCGTTTAAGACTCAATACACAAATTTAAAAAAAAAAATTGATTCAAAATACCTTTATTTATTACATAGAAAATTATTATTTCGAAATATATAGAATATTTAATTATTATTATTAATTAAGGATAAATTTGGGAAAATATTAAAAATTATATGAAAAATCTCAAAATATCAATTGTTTTGAAACAAAAATATTATTGTAAAACGTTGTTTAATCCGAAACGGAGAAGGTCGTTGTTGATTTGGATGTAATCAAAACGAGAGAGTCCACTTAGGAAATAAGAGATGTGTTTTACGTTTATATTTGCAATCATAATATGTTTTGGTATTTATTGTCTTTGAATGGTTCTTACAATATCTATTCTCATTTATTTCCTTGTCTGTCTCTATTTTATATATATATATATAAATACATATGATGTTTTTTTTCCAGCAATCATCTTCCATTCCGTTGTACAGAAACTTTGAAATTGTAAATTCACTTTATTAATCCCAAAAAACAGGGGATGGCCAAGTGAATGATTGGTGAAATAAAAGTTGATTAATTTCCTTCAACGTTTTTAATATATAAAAAAAATGAGCAAGGGAAAAAGGGTTGGCCTTTAAGATTATCCAAAAGACACATTCTTATCAATTGGAGGCAACTAGATACATAGATGGAAATTATACAACAAATATATCAAAATTACCCTCTCAAAGGTAAAAAAAAAATTAAAAAGAAAAGAAAAGAAGAAGAAGAATCATGAACTCATTTGAGAGAGAGAGAGAGAGAGATCATTGAAGAAGGTGTAATAAGTTGTTTGCATATGTTTATTGCTGCACAGTCCAAATCGCTTCTTTAATTTTGTGGACCTCTTCTGTAACCAAATTGGGCGGTCCAGATTTATTATCCTATAAAACCTTATATCCTAAAGTTTTATTCCACCAATCCTATCATGGAATCATTTGGGTCTTTGAAACATTACATTGCTTGCATGCGGAATGGGAAGATAATACTAGATTGATATTAATGATATACAAATTGAATGACTATGAATTATCTAAAATAGAATATGAATTTAAATTTGAATCAAATCTGAACCAATTTTTTTTTTTTTTATAACCAGGATGGTTTCTCGGATTTTTGGTCCGACTACATCCACATTAAGTCCGGGACCCGTCATTGTATATGGACTATTTTTTTTTCACAGATTATATCCATTTCCAATATACTCTCAGTCACTCGGTCACAAACAGTTGGATAAAAAAAATATTTATTTTAAAAAAATAATATGTTTGTTAATAAAAATCCAATACAAATCAAAATCAAAATTAATATACAAAAAGTTGAACGGTTATATTTTAAAAAAAACAACGGAATGGAGAAACGAGAATCATCAAAAACACTTTTGTGTCAGAACCGAGAACCTGTTCTTGATCAGGAAAAATCCCAAAGAATCCAACCAAATGCAAATCTTGGATTTTTTTTTCATTATTTTTTTTCCACCAGCGACTACATGAACATTGCTCAAAAGTTACAGACAGTAATTTCCATTTTCTGAAACATATATATATATATATATATATATATATATATAAAGAAAGAAAGATCAGTTCTTGTCGGAGGAGTTTTTGTGGTTAATGGACAACAACTTGGTGAAAATCTTCTTGGGCCGAGCAGGGATCGCACAGAACGCCTTGAATCTCGACGGAGTTCTTCCTCCGCCTTCTTGGCTCATGAAACTCTCCTCCCTGTATTCATCCTCCGCCAGTTTGCTCCTCAGTGTCCCTGATGGCCAATTCCATTACCAACCCAAATCTTATAACTTGTTTTAAACCCAAATATACGACCAAACGTAACCGGAACCCGAGATAGCCTCCCTACCTGACTTGGTTTTCGGCGATTTCACGCTCCATTGGTCTTCCGGAGCCGCGACGCTCGTGGTTGTGCTGAACGCAGCCGCGTCTGGCTTCGATGGATCGATGTTATGGGCCGCAAGGAGAGCTTTGATGTGGCTCGGAAGCTCGGTCATTTTCCCGCCCCCTGTTGCGGCGGCGCGGGAGTGCTCGTAGAAGAGGACTTGGACCACCACACGGAGAGGTAGCATCTCGTTCTGGGCCGCGTGCATACACGCTTCCATCGACAGTTTCTTGCAGTCCAGGATCCTGCAAAGTCTCTTCCTTTCGGTTTTGTTCAAATCCGGGTGAGCCTGAAACACCAAGAACGTTACGGAAAAAGAACGTCAGAAAGTCGATACGCACCCAGCCTCTATAGGGCATGTTTGGCTGGAAAATTCTTGAAATTTTATCATTGTGTTTAGGTGGGTGTGATGAGTTTCCAAAAACCAATCAGAAAAGCAACATTCCGGATAATGTAAAACCAAATTCGTCGAATTCGGAAGCTAAAAAGACTATAATACCTTGAGATAGATGTCAATGGCTCTGTAGAGATCGTTGTGATCGAGCCTCGAGAATTCGGGGATGCTCTCGGCGAGAGTGATGAACTTTGAGAGCGGGAGATTCTTGTCTCTCGCAATCTGTTGAAGATATCCGTCCACAAGCTTTGCAACCTTAAGTTTCGAGCTGTGCGAAGCAGAAGAAGATCTCCTGCTTTCTTGGAACTCGATATCGATGTTCTCAGCTGACCGAGATCTTCTTCTCCTCTCCATTACCGGTTTTGCCTTTTGGGGGCTTGTCGGAGGACTCTGCCCTTGTAACATGAACTGCTCCAAAATGGTCGTGACAATGTCAACATCGTACAACATGTCGGATTTGTAGGACATTGACGGTATTAGCAGATCGCTGACCGATGCTTCGTCTAACTGAAGAGCAACCCTTCTCGCCAATTCCATTTTCGAAGACGAAGAAGCGTTCAAAACGTTGGCTGTCTTCAAGAGCTTAAGCAAGAAACCACAAGAAACTGCTCCTTTCTCTGAAGGAAGCAAACTTATGATGGATTCCAACAACAACCGATGCTTAGACGAAGTGCTCTCTTCTGCAGAGTCCGAATCCGATCCAGAATCAGCTCGTTTACAGACTAGTTTCCCGTTTCTCGGTATACCCGGAAGCCATTTCGAGGCGTAAACTCTCAAAGCATCGCCTACAAGAGCAGAAGGAACCTTCCCACCGGATTTAATGGCGATCATCGTCCTCCAATAGAGATCGATCCCCAACTCTGCAATATCCTCGGCCCACCAGCCTCTGCTCGCGGGTTTGTTGTGGCCACCATTGCACGACACCACATCATCTCTCACCCTACGAGAATGGCTATGGGAGAGACTAACTTTCGACGGGTGAGACAACACCTTCGAGGCTATAGCCTCGATGCAGCGGCTCGTGATGGCGAGATCTTCCGACCATAAAGTGAAGGCCTTTGTGGTCTGAAGCGTGACAATGGCGTCCCTCCAGCCATGGAGGATGCAAGAGTTGAAGAACACTTCGAGCTTGTAAACCAAGTTACCTTTCTCCACCTCCTCTGTCATCTGCAGATACTCTGCAGCACATCTCGCCGCCACGATGTTGTAAGCGCTTATAGTGATCGTGATTCCATAGCAGAATTTCGCACATAGCTCGAAAGACTCCGCCCCTCCGGGAAAATCGGGTAGTCGGATCGTTTGATTCTGTGATGCTTCTGGTGATTCAGAGAATATTCTTTGTAGCTTTAAGCACTTTGATAGAAGGGGAAACTGCAGAACAAGAACATCAAATGAATTCTCCATGGACACTCACCAAAAAAAAACGAAAGAGAAATCATTCCCCGCCATGAACAAGAATCTTCTCAGAGGAAAGATTACCTTGTGAAGAAGGTATTTACATCCTGACACTTCGATTACTATATCGCTTGAAACTTCTGAAGATACACACCTGCACGTCAAGAAATCATTTAAATCCCAGAAAAAAAAATATTTCCGACAGGGGAGGAGGCCTTTTTGTTCTGTTTTGTTCTGGGGTTACCTTACAGAATCAGAAGTGTAGAAGGTATCAGGTCGAGATCCAAGTTTCATAAACTTCATGGCTGATGGTATTTGTAGCTTTCTCGATCCTCAATCAAGAGAAACTCCTTGGCATAATGGCCAAAATTACCAAAGGGTCTCTTCTCCCAAGTCACCAGAAACCGAAAGCGCAGTTCTTTCCTCGGAAACCCCCCCGACAATTTTCCTGTCTGCAAGTCAGACAAAACATTCCAAAATGGGAAAAAGATCAAAACTTTATGGAAGTTTTGAGAGTTTGCAAACCCAAAGAGACATGGCTGCTTCAAGGGTCCGAAAGGAAGAGGATTTACATGAGAGAGAGAGAGAGAGAGAAATGAAAAAGCCTACAGATTTTTTTTCTTTCTTCAGATGGGTTTTTCTTGTTGTGGATGGTGTTTTACATGAAAATGAAGGATATATAAAAGGGGGAAAAATTTGGGTAAGAACTGAAGGAAGAAAACCCAGAAAACAACTCAGGCCACCATTAAAGTTCATGCCCGCCCGCTCAGTCAAATTTCCTTGTACCCATACGATATGGACATGCATACAAAAAGAATCAACATCCCATCAACACACATTACACATCAAACACCACCACCGATTCCCATCAATCATAAAAAGGAAAAGAGAACACCTACTGATGCCACAACCATACAAGAAGATCAAAAGATAGGGTTTTTTGCTTTCATTTAAAACCCAACCAAAAAAAAAAAAGCTTACTTGGGTTCGAAAGAGCAATCGAAGCAACTCTCTTTAACTTTCTCTCCTTCTTCTCCCTCTCTCGAGAAAAAGAAAGTGGGTTTGGGGATAATCAGCCTGAAATCTTAATCTTAGGGTTTTTCTAGGGCCCTTTTTCCCCGGAAACCGTCGTCACCAATCATGCAAAGATCAAAAGAGGGGAAAAAAACATTTTTTTCGCGATTTATGCCAAGTTTTTTGAGAATTTAGGGATTATTTTACATACAAAGGTGAGGAATTTTTATAGAAAGAATATTTTTTTTATGGGGGGGGGGTTAATATTGTGGCGAGGCCATTTTTTGCCAGCGTGCAGAGAGAAAGACCAATCCCACGTGCTTACGCTGAGCCCACCCCTGTCTTTGGTCTTCCTCATCATTGTCACTCCAATTTTCTCTTTTTTTTTTTAAAAAAAAAAAAAAAAAACTCTCCGCACACTTATTATTTTTTTTTCTAAGTCAACATTAAACTTATACCACTCAATTGACTCATTGATATCTTCGGTTTATATTTGTAATATATATATATATATATAAAGCATATATACGCTCATTTCTACTTGTGGAACCGAAATTGATAAAATCGAATTGAATCACAAAAACAATGAAATCGATCCTGAGTATGTCGACTGTGATCATCTCATATATTGATACATGTGATAAAATTTGTGTTTTCAAATAAGAAAATCATATAAATTTTGTAAAATAAATAAATCATATGCCTTTATACGAATGCCACCTATATATATTTTACGTGTAGAAGACTCAGTGCAAAATAATTTTTAAATATGAAATATTTTGAGAAGTGTTTTTTACACAAAAGACTATGAGTATTAGATATCATATATTCTATTACAACTGACCATCAAGCTTAATACGCTTTGGGATAATTCTGTTTTGGTAAGTAAAATATAAACTTTAAGAACAAATATTTGATAAAAAAAAAATTCACTAACAATTTATACATACATCTAAAATGCACATATCTAAATGCATTTTTGGTATTCTTTGACCTACTGATAGATTATTATGTGCTTAAAACTTATCCAATGAACATTTAAAAGGATCAAATCTTGAAAATAGAATATTGAACTCTTAATTATAAATATTATCCACAAAACTCTTCATCTCAAAAGGGTTGTTACAGTCAAGTGGCAAAAGGCAGACAATCAAATAGACCATATAGCCTCTTTTTTCACCAAAGTCTATAATGCGTGTACACACTAAATATATACAGAATGCGTGTATAAATATGAAATTATTATTATATATATATATATATAATGTATATTACAAAATTTATAATTTTCAGTTGGACAAGTGTATGCTTATCATCAAAGTTAGGGTTACCCTATAACACTGGCAAAAGGGATAGTTATATATATCCTATGTTTTGGATCCCTTTCAACAGCCCAAATGGGAGCTTTCTATATGCTTCATTTAATAATATATATGACCAAATATATTGCCTTTCTAATGCCCTCATGAAAGCTTGGCATTAACCAACAAGAATCATATCATAAGGCAATTTATTCAATCATCAAGAGCAATGATTTTGCACAATTTCAGCCTTAATTAGCACCACTCCCATATTTGTAGCCCTTTATATAGCAAGAGTAAAGAATTATTTTTTTATAATTATCAATCGAAAACTTATCGAATTGGATTGGAGTATATTTATGTGAAAAACGCATAAAAACAAGAGATATATTGTATTGAAAATCATGGATGAACTAAAAACTAAAACCTTATCTTGAAATTTTTAAGATTATCGATGATATCGAAAAAACCAAAAGAGATGGAAAGATGATTGAAATATGTGTTTGTACTATAAACAAAAAGAGGGTATGTGTGTGTATATATATATATATATAAAGGGTTGTGTAGTGATTTTGATATTACCAAAGGAAAACAAAACTTAGAAATATATGAAAGGAACCAAAAATATCCCAAGATTTGTCAGACTCTCTCCAAGGACATGAAAACCGGCTACAGAGGGAACAAAACCCATTGGTCCGTCACGGTTTGGACCGGTTTTTGTCGGTCCGTGATTGAGACCCAAACCTGTGTTGGTTCAATCAGTGCCCAAGTGGCATTCTCGATATTTTGGAACTTCTTCAGGGGTAGTTTCGGGATTCACGAGGTCCTGATGTCAACCCTACGTGTGAAAGAAGCCGCGATAAAAGAAAAAAAAGGAAAAGATTTTTGTGTGATGTTAAGTTTAATTATGCGTGTATTCCAAGTGGGTGACCGACCGACAATGTCTGCTTTATTTGTGGGGCCCGCAGTTTGGTTTGTGTAATGAGATGAGATGGACCAATAGATTTCGACACTGATAATAGATTCGGTATTTTTGTGGAGAATAAAAAAATATTATATGTAAATTTATAATTTAAGCAGGGCCAAGGAATAATAATAAAGTAAGATATTAATTAATTGTATTAACTATAGATTAATTGGCTAAGTACTGTATATTGGTGCGTGAGATTAGAACATTGGTGGCTAATTAATGAATAATACAGTAACGTATCGTGCTTTATGCGGCAGACGACTGATATGACATGACATGCTATATGTTTTATCTTTTTAATTTAATATGATATCAAATCTTAACTTTTAATTCATCACTACATTTTCCGTATCTCCCTCGTAATAATATGTATATTTCATCATTTTTATTATAATTCAATTTTATGTTATATAAAAACTATATCCATTTTAGTTTCACTTCAAGCTTATTGGTTTACCAAAAAAGAAAGAAAAACTTATTTTCTGAAAAAATTGTTCTTTCAAATACAAAGGATTTTAAATTAAATTTATTTTAATGTTGATACGTAATTTGGCATGATTAGATCTTTTTAATTTTACATATTAGAAAGGAAATATTCTATATATCCTAATTTTGATGAACAATAATTGGTTAGACAAGGCAAGTTTGCATTCAATTTATATGTCTCATAATTAATGAGAGATCGAAGACAAGTTTTTTTTCTTCAAATTAATGGAATTTCAGTAATTGTAACATTTTGGATAGAGCAAGTGGGCATGGATGAACATCAAAAAGTCTTTTTCATCTTTTTAGGCAGCAGCAGATTAAAGGTGATATATCGTTCGTTCCAATCTGCTACTGTTTATCATTTTTTAAGGGAAATAATTAAAATTAGAATTATGGTGAAAATTATGTTTCAATTTTTTTAAGTTAAGCTCTGATTAGTGTGTTTTTAATTAATAATTTTGGTTAAAAGAAAACGATGAAAGTTGGTTGATTGTTTTCTTTGAAAAATATTTAGGAGAAAAATAATTAGGAGAAAATATTTAATTGAAGAACTAATTATAAGGAGAATAAAATGGAACGATTTTAAGTAGAAACTTGAAAAGAATAAAGAAGAAACGACAAAACTTATAAGCAAATTAAACATCCTACTTTATTGTCCCACAAAACCCCCCATTAACTTCATTTATAAAATAATAATGTGTATCATTATATATAATAAATCAAAATCAGCCATTTTGGATTGTCCAAAAACTAAGCTTTTAAAATATGAGGAAAAAAACCGGCGATCAGTAAATAGAGTTTTTTGGAAATTTAAAATTGGACATTTCAATAAAAAAACGTATAAATTAATTAGAGAATATATAGTAGGCATTATTACATAGTGGAAGATTATAAACGCCACCGATATAAAAAAAAAAAAGATTATAAACGCCATGCAAAATATTTGTCCCCCCATGCATACGTAACGTGTTATGGAAGCGTGGTGATAATAAAAACCATGTGGAGTATACACACATAATAACATGAGTATAATCACAATTATTATTTATAACCAGAAATTATGACACTAGATATCGCCTTTAATCAATTACAAACTCACGCAAAACTGCAATCAAATTGAAATCACAGTTTGAATTACTGTACAAGATTGGTTATATCGAGATGCAATAAAATAAAAATATATACTAATATTTTATTTCTGAATCGAGCATGCATTATATTAAATAGCGGTATATGATGGAATTTTCCATGTCCTAAAAATGGTGTTCATGACAATATCCCAATATCCTCTTCTTTTAATTAAAAATTAATTCAATTAAAATTTATAAATACACACACTAAAAGGGCATTTGGTATATTGAGTATGATGATATTTTATTAATTTTATGCTTTCTGTATTTGGTTTTATTTTAGATAGAAAAATTAAAGAAGAATAAACATAAACTTCTAGGCTGTAAAATGACTGATGGGATTTTATCAATTAATCCTAATTGCGATTTTAATTGGTCAAAGATTCTCGGGCAACGCGTGTTAGGGCAGGATGAGTGTGATATCACATAATCGTACGTCCCCTAATTAAAATTTAACCTTATGATATACTTTAAATTTAACCTTTTTTTATTAAATGCGAATCTTCTTTAAATTTAACCTTGATTTGTACTAAGCATGCATAATCATCAAATGTCCCTACTGCCATTGCACGACTAATTTGAAAAATGCTGTCATCTTTTTTACCATATTTTAGTAGACTTTAGAAAAAAAAAACACCGACCATACATATAACCATGACCATATTCTAAATTATAACAATATATCTATGATTCATGTTGTTGATGAACCATGTGAATAAAACGTTATTTCCCTAATATATTCTGATTCCATCTAGTTTTTTTTTTGTAGAAATTTATTTTCAAAGTTTTTTTTTTACAAGAAAATTATCTGAAACGAAAAGAAAAGTCAACTATGATTTTATCTGAAATAATCAGATCACGATGATGAGTCCCCAACCTCCATGTCTTTGACAAGACTGGCCTTCATTAATTGCTTCATGCTTAATTTCTCCATTTTCCCTTTTTTGGTTTTTATACAATTTATTGATTTATGAGGATGATTTGAGTATTAAACTTGATCTAAGAAAATACGAAATAAAATTTTAGAAAAACTAAATTAATTAATGAAAATATTTTTTGGAAAGGGTTTTTTTTTTAAATAAAAATCGAAAAAATAAAACAAAATATAGAATTCGAATACATATAGTTTTTTTTTTAAAGATCGAAATCTTTCGACACAAAAAAAAGCTAAACTGAAAACCAACATATTCACCAACTAGATTTTAACATTCATTTCATTTGATTTTGTCTAGTTTTCTTAAAATATTTTATAAATCATTGCGTAATTCATGTGAGATAATGCTAGAAAAAACTTTTGCTTGAATAAAGTTTTTTTTTTTTTTGGTAAAGTTGGTCCCAAGATCTACCCTATTGATAAGCCCTAGAACCGTTAAGATTACGCTTTTGTGGTCTCAGCCTTGAGTTTTGTCATCTTTTCTTTTTCTGATTATTATTGCTTTTAAAACATAATCATTCACTTATTCAACTAAATTTAAAAAAAATTATGATCATTTTTGTACGATTTTGTCATTTCTATCAGCTTGAATTTGAATTTTTAGCGTTACAATGATTTGTATGGTCGAGATATATGATTTCGGTATCTAATCGTCTTATTACTATATGATATTCAGGTTAAAAGATATTCAAATTAAAAAGATCTAACCATTTGTTAAAACAAATACATGTTAAGTGTACTTATTTTTTTAATATTTTATACTTACATTATGAATTAACATTTGTTCGGAAAAGCTGACAGAGAGTTGGCTCAAAATACAATTTTCTTTAGAAAAATTTGAAAAAGATATGTTTATCGTCTCGGCATTATCACATAATAAAAAAAAAGTAAAATTTTGATTTGATTTAGATGAAATTATTTTATACTTCAGTTTAATTTTTAGACTTGATTTGTTGATAATTTTTTTATTCCGAATTACTAAATTAAAAGAGTGCTTATTAGGTATTCATTTCATTCCAATTTCTTTATTGTTTTATATTTAATTTAAATTCAATTGATTTGAATAAAAAACATATCTAAATGATTTAGACATCTTATTTAAATTTCATTCCAAATCGATTGTACCTACAAAATATTCACCATAAAGAGATTCCTAACCTTTTTTTATAATTCAAAAATTAATTAGACTTTTCGTCTAATTATATCTTTCAAAAAAATGAAAAAATACGAATGAATATCTTTTCCCACGTTTGAATTTGAACCCACTATAATAGCATATTTTGCATACATTTTTTTACCATTATACCACCCAAGATTCGTAACTTTATAATACAGATTATAGAAGAGCAAGAGAATCCTAAGGTACTAAAAATGTCATATATATATATATATATGTCATTAATTCTACACAAAAAAAAAACACATTTTGTTATGGAAAAAAAAGAATTACCCGACAAAATATAAGACTAAAAAAGAATGAATGTCCGAATATATATCCCGTAAACACCTTTTCATCACGGGATGGAAAAGATTTGTCAAGTAGAATCCAAGAGTATCCATTTCCAATTTTTGTCTCTTCCTGTAAATTTTTCTAATATTTATCCATTGCCACAGCATCTACACATATATACATATGTATATACAATATATAATGTAAGTGGGGTCAATTATCATTTTGTGGTTCTAATTACACAGTGAATAAAACCATTTTGACTTAAATTAGGTTGGACCACGTACTATCTCCACCAAGACCACCCTCACGGGAAAGAAAGCAACACCATTTCGCAATCCCACAAACTTATCTATAACATTTTTTTTTATAATCTTATCAATAACATTTCATATATATATATATATATGTATTATGTCGACCCTCATTAGAATCCGTTATATATATCAAAAGGTTTAATTTTAATCGAAGATTCTACTGATGGACAGATTTAAACAAAGGCCAGACAAAAAAAAAAAGCAGCAGAATTACATATAGGATTTGGATTGGAAGCACAAAAAAACTGATACCACATGCAATCACATATATATTCATATGAATGGACAGACACAGCACAAAACATTAAACTAATGGGTCTGGTTCTTTTAAGTTTTCTGTGCCCAAAAGGTAAGTATCTACGCACGTGAAGTCTGTCCAAAAATATATATAAAAATAAAATAAAAATACAAAATCAACAACTGTTATGTTGGTCCATTTGGCTGTGGTGTTTTTTGTTTGTATTTTAGATGAAAATTGTTCTCTTTCTTTTGTTCGTACGTGTGCATCATCAGCTCTGTCACAGTGAAGTTGGTGAAGGGGCAAAGAACAACCGGCCAACCCGGCCCAAGCCCGCGTGACTTCGCACGTGCGTTCCACGTGTCGTCCAGCTCATACATACAATACATATATTACACGCACATAATTGTGCGCCAAAATATCTGGTATGCATGCATGTGCATGCATGCCTTGAATACTATTTTAGCTTCATAAATTTAATGGCTGCAATTTTCTTGACGTGTCAAATATTTTTTTTGCAAGGGTTATAAATTGAAGTACAGCGACTAGTAGGATCCTACTTGTAGCCAAAACAAAAAAAGAAAAGAAAATGTACTAACATATCTTCCGGTTCGATCCTGCCAACCCGGATATCCCGGTTTTGATTCTAGAGATTTAACCGAAGGTCAGTTTAGCCCATGATGTATAGTATAATTAGTAAGGCCCATTTTCATCTGGGTCAGGCCCAAAATATGGCCCATTTGTTCAGGTATTCTATTCTCTCCTCCACTGCTAACATTTGTTCCTCTCAATCACTAATCGTATAGCGAACTGAATTTCTATGTTGAACGATCATTGCGATACAAAATCAAACCCGAGAGAGGAAATGCAGAGATCGAAGAAGAGGGAACACGTGTTTATGAATTTGAATTAAATTTCGAGTTATTTATTCTTTAAGAGAAATACAGAAACGAGAAACAAATCGGAATCAGAATCTCTGAAACTTGTTATTCGAACCCGCATCATTCTTGTAACGAGGAAGCCGAAGATATATAAATAGATTTTGGAGAATATATATAGTTTTATAAGTGATGTAATCTGACTGTAAATCGGTTTCTCTCTGCTGTGTACAGAGACAATACATTTCACAGATTAAAACATGTAATCTAATTGAATTCAGGCACAAACACAAACACAGATCTCTGTTCTTGACAAGAATAGTTCTTCAATCTTTATACGCAGTAATGATTCTGTAGACCGTCCAAGAATCTGTCGTTGAGTTACAGAGGATTCTTGAAAACCGTATTAGTCTGATTCTCGTGCAATTCAGGGATAATCTTTATTAATGGGAAAAAACCCATACCAAAAGGGTAAGTGCAAAGACAGATTCTGTGGCCAAAAAACAAAAACATTTACAGAATCAGAGAATGGATCTGCAGAGAGGACAGGTCGTGTGTCTGCTGCCCAACCATCTGTCCAGACAGGCTCTGTGGAAGAAATGCCTGCAGGAATCCAATTCACTGATTTCTTCTTCCTCCTTATACCCACAGAGACACACGCAACACTCCGCAACTCCTGTCCCTTCGCCGATTCCGCCATTGATGACGTCACCGCTACACCCACCTCTCTCTCCTTCCCCTCTGTTCTCGCACAGAGACTTGAACTGGGTTATCGAGATTCTCCTTCTACCCGTAGAATCCTCATCTGGGTTTTCTCCCTCTACCTCCCTCGAATCTTCGTCCTCGGATTCCGCCACGTTGAGGACAGACCTCACCATGTTCTTCAACAGAGACACTGAAACAACCGTGTTCATCACCAGAAGTGGAAGAACGCCATCGGATGCTGTCGGGAAATGCGAAAGGCCCATCCTTCTACAATGATCTTATATCGTTTTTTTTCTCTGGTCGATTGATTATGAGCCGATCTTGGCACCTTGTAACTAAACAAAAAAAAAAGGAGGCGGCTTTTCGGTGATTAATAAAGGGGGGGTTCATGCCAACCACTCAAAAGTTAACCATGTTCTGAAGCGTTAGAAAACGGTTAGGTTTAGCCGTTTAAACACGTGTCAGCACGTGTGAGGTTCTCGTAGAGACCACCCATGATTGCGACAGAGATCGATGCGATTAAAAACGGGTTTAAATCATAAATCTGTATTCGTGTCTGCTTGCTCCATCTCTGACACGTGTCCCGATCAGCGGTTGGAGGACCAGCCACGTGGTGCTTCTTGGAAGAGCTTTCAGATTACCCCCCAGTTCGCTAAACTCGCTGAGTCAAGCCGACACGTGAACGCGCAGTAGTCAGCATGCCACGTCAGCGAGACAGAAACCCTCTTGGTTGAAATCCAGACAAATTACAGCTGCAACGGTAAAAATCGGATAACGGAAACCCTCTTTTATTTGATTGGATGGAAAAAATGTTTTGTTGGGTATATACATACACAAACATATACCGATTATATGTTAACGTAAGACACTAAAGACTGAATCTTTCTCGCGGATAGTCAGTGGCGGCTACGGTTTCTGAACGTTAAAACTCCTACCGGGCGGTTGAGTTGGAGTCAGCGTTTGCGTTTAGAGATTTGAGGTGGCCCTTTTCTGCGTCTGCGATTCTATCCTTGAGGATGGTCCATTCCCTTTCGCACCGTTCCCTTACCTGCAAAACCTCGAAGAAAGGCGATAATGGCGTTTCACCATGAATTTCAACAGATGAATTTCTACTAAAACTGCTAACCCATTTGGGGTATGAACATGATCAGAGTGTTACATGAGGCTAAACGGCGTTCTAATGACAAAAGCTAAAACCTTTACTGGGCGAATGAATGAAAGAGTTTTAAAGTCACTCACCCCTTCCCATGGCTCTTTCCCGTCTCGTGCCTCTCCCTTTGGCGAGGGAAAAGGAAAAAGGAAATGAGAAGGCGTTCATGGAGGAAGACGTAAATGGCTGCATAAAAGAGTTTTCTTCTTCTTTCTGGGTTTTACCTGATTGCCAAGGGAAGGAACAGTTTGATGAACAATCCATTGAGCATCCACCACTCCTATCTTCTCATGGGCAGGCTGCTGTTATACGAGAGAATTCCGCAGTTTCATTACACGAAAACAAGATGAAAACCGTGTTTTGTGGGCCAAAAAAACACGAAAAGATTCGATCTTTTTGTGTACCTCGACGCATCTTTGGAGTGCAAAATCAAGGCCCCATCCATGAACCAAATCATTCTGTTCTCAGCCAACACAATGGCATAGAGAAAGAGTCAAGGAAACAGAGAAATGCGGAGTAAGAAAATCGTTATCTTATAGATGAAGTAAGAAGCAGCAGAGATTTTAAGATGGAGACCTGAAGCAGATGCCAAACACATCGCCATGCATCTCTTGAAAACACTGGAGCCATTATCTCAACAAATCTACAATTATCAAAAGACACGAACGAGATATCGTTTTCAGTCCCCTCTTCTCCTACAACATAACAGAGGAATCGGTCGGGAATCATCACATACGCAGCACATGGTGGCAGAAGCGGGTCTGAGCACAGTTCGGGTTTCTCTTCAGTTGTCCTGAATAAGTTTCAAGGCAAAAAAGGAAAACATTCGTAAAGATTTTCGTCCCGTTTTTTTTTTGCGAAAATCCGGCAAGATCTGAACGAAACCCGCGGAAAGATTATAAGGTTTATCAATCATACTTGTGGACTTCAAGATCTTCTATTCTCTTTGTCATCGGCCAAGTTAACCCTCTGTTTGGTTCCAATCCCGGCTGAGAAATCTCTAGACCGTGCTTCTTCACGAGCTTTATGTATCTGCGCACGATAAAGCCGAGCTCATTACATAGACCGAGCGAGAAAGAACAAAACTTTATTTCCGGAAAGAAAACAGGAAATGTGAACAAAAACTCCCTCCTTCTTCCATGACTTACTCTTCGCCATTAAAATGCTCTACTCCAAGGTCCTCGTCCCATACGAATATATAATCATACGCTGCTATGATATCGGGGTGCAAAAACCTCTTCACGTACCACCTTGAACAAATTTCCAAGAACAGAGGAAATTCCATTATATGAATCATCAAAAGACTATCGGAGTTTTCAACCGTGAAAAGAAAACGAGATAGAACCATTTCGTCTGCTTCCTAACGCTAATGTGGATTGCTCGCTTGGACCACTCGAATTCATCCCACTCGGTTGTCCGGCCATCGTAGTGGAACAGAACAATCGTAAAGTTGTCTGAAAACTGGTGGGAAGAAGAGTAAATCATAACCATAATGTCATAAGATAAACCGAAAGAGTGGAAAAGGAAAGAAAGAAAGAAAGTGTAAACCAACCTTCTTAACACATGCATCGATATTGTTCCTCTGATCATACCCAACCGTAAACGTCACGAGATATCTCGGCTTGCTTGTTAAATCCTGAAGAAGATGAGAATTTAAAAATAAACATCCCATATCTAGTCAGATTTTGTGTTCTTTGGATCACATTTCTGTTCTTGAACAATAGGCTGCTAATATAAAAACTGATGGGATGATGACAAAAAAATGAGATAGAAGCATGAATCCGGGCCGAGACCTCTTCTGGTAATCCCCACAATCTGCGCAGGTAGAAGTCTGATTCGGCAGCAACAATACCGGGAGGCAACCTTTCAGCACCTCGAGGGTTTGAAGGAACCCATATCTGCAGCAAACTCACAATGAAACATGAACCAGTATGAGACAGCAACCTTATTGAATTGAAGTTTGCAAAACACGCATATACACACACACACATATATATATATATAGAATCCTCCTTAGCAATAGTCAACATATATCACAAGGAAGTGAACTTGTTTGATCAATTATGGAGCTCTTGATAATCGATTTATGCATGACCCTTATCTGAAATTCTTTCAGTCAGGACCTAACTATACTTTGTCAGCCTGGAGCCGTACGAACTCCAAACAGGACATCGTTGAAAATGTAGTCTCTAGTTCTCTGTTCTTGATGAAGCAATAGCATGAACAAGATGAAGAACTTTTAGCATTTCCAACTCCATTATAAAGGTTTCGAAGCATGCCTGGGATTTATCAATGGAATCTGGAGCTGACGATCTACTGTCGTTACCCTTCAACGAGGACCATGCTTTATGATCGGCTGGAGTAGGGACAGACGAACCTCTTTCTTCTACAGATGAGAGATCGGCGAAATAAAGAAGATTTGTTGGGAGGCTCACCTAAAAAAATGTGAAAAAGACGTCCAACATTCAGACAAAACTAGAGAAAGATCACATAAAACACTGGAAAAACGGAGTAACCGAAGATTAAACTCAGGCCACCTTAGTGATTGATAATGTTGGAAAGGATATCCCGACAAAAAACCCGAAAGCTATTCCGAGAAATGCTGTTGCAACAAGCTTCATGCCTTCTGTTGATCTTCTACTGATCAAGCTGCAACAACAGGAACAGTTTGGTTTTGATTACACTTCAATGGAGTCGAGAAAGACCAGCAGCATTAGGCCTCATCAAAGAAAACGAGTAGAGCTCTTCACTTCACCTGCGTGAAAAGATTCCCATGTTTTCTTAATACCCCGATGATGTTACCACAGGGGAATTGGGAGTGGACAAGTGCTTGAAAAGTGTCATTAACTGGATTCTTCTGGAGCAGATACTCCAGAAATCAAGCACCCAAGAAAGTGGAGAACCTAAGAACCTGGTGTGAATAAACACCACGAGCAATATCGGTATGAGAAGCTAACAACAATCTATTCGATGAATCGTGAAGCGGCAGAATGAGGTCCAGGGAGAAATCATTATCAAGTGAATCTCTTACAGCATGGTAAAGATAATACAAGCTCTGGCAAGACATTCATATGCCTAAACAGACAAGGTATTGCCATTAAATGGAACCAACCATATAAAAAGGCTTCAGCTTTACGCTAAAAGTTGAATATTGACTGCACCTTGTACGAGAACATCCATGAAACAAAACACATCCTCTTCTTAGTAAACATTCAAAGGTAGCAAACAGCCAAGCAAGCAGCCAAGAAAACCTTCGAGTTAATGATCACAAGTGCGAGCAATGCCATCAGCAAGCAAAATGGATTCGAAAACGTAAATCTAAGAACAAGGGCTCATAGAAAATCTGCAACTTGAACTGATACTCGCATATTTCGATCAATTCCCGGAACCCGAAATAAGGGTCCTCTAAACAAAGACAAAGCTAAAAGCAAACCCTTGTCGCTTAGATTGCAAGAAGAAAACGAAATGACAGAAACACGTATTAAAATCAATCAAGGAGATAATAGTTCAGACGCGAGCGGAAATCGCACGTGAACAGAGAACAGAGAATGGATAATTCAAAATTCCTCAAAAAAATCCAAACTTTCTGGCAAGCAAACATGGCGGCAATAGCAATTTTCCCAAGGAGGGCACATTTCATCGAAATCGAAGCAAACCTGGGTTAATCACGTACAGCGAGATCCAACGAACATGTAAAGCACGAGAGAAACCCCATGAGAAAAACACCCTTCGCCCCTCCAATCCAAACGCCCGAAGGAGAAAACTTTCCCCCGTGATCGATTCTTCCCAGAAAAACCCAGAACGCAGAAAAGCGCGATCCGAGAAATCCCACGAGAAGAGAAACGCGTCCCGATCAAAACCTTAAGTAGAAACGGATTTTGGGTTTGAAGGAAAATTAAGGAGAAGAGAATCCGAAATCTGCAGCGTCAGCCTCTTTCCAAGCTGCGCGGTTATTTTGTTTCCAAATTCTCAGATTTTCCCAGGAAATTGATTAAGGCAGAGAAATCCAAAATCGGAATGGAGGGAAGCTACAGTGCTCGTAAGAACCGATAGTTTTCCGTACGACCTGTCTTTTTATTTTTTTGAGTTCGAGTTTTATGGAAAGTGTATTAATAATATATCTCTTCTAATATTTTCTATGAAGTATATAGTGTAAATCATTTCTATTTAATATTACAATGTAAAAATCATTAATTTGTTGAGATGCTGTGTAATATTAGTACTTATGATAATTAATTCTGTTGCAATTATGTGTATTTAATTAATATTATTCTTTGTAACAGATATTTGTTGAGATTTGTGTGCATGTGTGTGTCTATATAATCTTAGATTCTTAGTTCATCTGTGTTTTCCTTTCATGGTGCGAGAGATACGTGTTTCCTTGGATTTTGTTGGTGAAAATTTTGAAGATTTTATATTTTTGAAACTTGAGCATTAATTTTTCTCCTTTTTTATTTCTCTCATTTCGGTTCATTGGTTTCCGGTTTTAGTTATTTTGATTTTCCAAAAATCATATTTATTCCATTTTTATATAATTTTTTTATTCAATTTTCGTTTGATTTAAATTAAATTTCATATATATATTTTTTTAAATATAGATTTTGTTACGGTGTCAATCGGGCCAGTTCAATCTGACCCGATCTGAGTATGTATTCGGCCCGATAGTTTTGAATTCGGGTTGACCCGATTTTTTCGGACCTATATCATTACACTAACCCTGAAGTCCGGTTCTATAAATTTTGGATTCGGATCGGAACGGATAAGACGGGACCGACCCGCACAATTTATTTCTATAAACGATTTTTTTCTTTTTTTTTGAGATTTTTCTTAAAAAAAATATCGGACTTTTCGTGAGCAAAGAGAGAGGGCCAAATCTTATCTTGTGCTGTAACTTAATATGCAAGCAAACAAATATACATTGAAACTACAACGTAATATTTGCAATGATCAAAACGTTTATATATATATATATATATATATTATATAAATGATATCATTCAATTAGCAATCTATCGTTTATCCTGATTATATCATCAAATCTAACTATTTATTTTCCAACTTCAATCTTAAATAATTGTTTTTCGTCTTTTTTTTTAATTCGAGGAGATGTATCAAAATATATTAAAAATAAAAGATTTGAGAAGAATATCAAGAGATACGAATAATATTTTAGAAAATTATTACAATGTGGTTAAGCATAAATGTTTTATGTTTTTCTTTTGTGTGAAGTAAGATACATGCAAGATTTTGTGTATAAAACTAATGAATATGAACGGAATTATGCAATTCACACCATATATGTATTGCACTCATCGATCTGAATTTCGATGTATTCAAGGTATGTTTGAATTTTTTGTGGTGATTCTCAAGTTTTTGTTGGTTAAGAAGATCCATATATTTTTTTTTTCTGTATATGATTTTTTTTATTTTTTTTATAACGTAGGACCCCTAGCTGCTAGACTTCGGGCACGCTGACTAGGTTTACCTCCCTCTCCACCAGTCAGGAATCGAACACTCAACCTCAAGGTAGAGTTACCTCCTATCTCAAATTTGACCATTCGCCCACGATCTGTTGGGTTATTAAGGTTCAAAAAATATAAAAAGAATATTTATATCGCCCACGATCTGTTGGGTTATTAAGGTTCAAAACAAAAAATATAAAGAGAATATTTATATGATTTTTTATTTTGTGTACGAAAACCTTTTTGAGATTAGCAAAATTTTCAACATTCATTTATGAAAATTAGTTAAAGAAAAAACCTAAAAATCCATGTTTTTTTTTGTTGGCTGCCCATGGTTTTTGACAACGCAAAAATAACGTTTTTTTATTAGTGACGTAAATGGTTTTCGTTGGACCTAATTACTTTGTTTTATTATAATCAGCTAATTACTTTGTTATGAGCAAAGCTTTTGAAATTAGCTAAACGTGGAATATATTTGTCAAAATTATACTTATCTACCACATTTTGACGAATTTGTCAATTTATATGAAAATATGTTTCATTTTCGATTTTTATTTGACATTTTTTTTCGGTTTATATATGTTAAGAATGTTGCGAGTTTTTTTTAATATTTTTATGAATTAATTATACGTTGTACAGAAAAATTATATCGGTGAAAAAGGAAATGATCTCATAAAAATATATAATATTATTAAAATTTTCTAAATAATAAGTGTATGAATTCTTTTCTACGATAGAGATGTGCCATTTATTTAAAATTTCATATAAATATAAAAATATTATTTAATATTTCTAGATTTTCATTATAAAATTATAGAAAATTATTTATATTTTAACGTTATTGTCATACTGGAAAAATCTAATAATATTTTGGAAATTTATATAATCACACGAGCAGTTTTGTACAATTAATACGTTAATACGTATCAACTATATTTATATTTTAAAAAATAAATATGTATTTAATTGAGAATTTTTTTCACTATATGTTTTATGAACTTTTCCATTAAAGCAACACGAGGGTCATGATAAAAAAAAAAAGCTAAAGCACCAACGATGTCTTCATTACAAACCCTGCAAACATGTCTCCCTCTACAGCTGCTCACCGTCACACTCGTTATCTTCATCCTCACCGCCACGACGGAGATTATTCGTCATCGATTCAGGCAGCGGCGGCGGCGGCTTCCGCCGGGACCGCCGGCGATACCCATCATCGGAAACTTGCATCAGATCGGAGAATTACCTCACCGTTCTCTCTGGAAGCTCTCTCGAAAGTACGGTCCTCTCTTACGCGTCAAGCTTGGTTTTGTCCCAACTGTTGTTGTCTCGTCCCCTGAAGCAGCTAGGGAATTGCTTAAGACACACGACCTCCATAGTTGTAGCCGTCCAGCTCTCTCAATTGCCAGAAGACTGTCATATGATTACGCGGACATCGGTTTCTCACCGTACAATGATTACTGGAGAGAAGTGCGAAAGATTTGTGCCCTTGAGCTTTTCAGTGTGAAAAGGGTGCAATCTTTCAGGTACATCAGAGAGGAAGAGATCGAGTCTCTTGTGAAAACGATATCCCATCACTCTGATTCTGGAAAACCGGTTAACTTAAGCGAGAAGTTAATGTCGCTGGCCGTTGCAATGATGTTTAGAGCTGGATTCGGGATGAGTTCCCGAAAGATAGAGGAGGATAATAAGAGGTTTCGAGGGTTTGTGGATGAAGGTAACGAGATTCTTCGTAAATTTTCGGCAGAGGATTTATTCCCGTACGTGGGTTGGATCGTGGATAGGGTTACGGGTCTTCACAGAAGGCGAGAGAAGTGTTTCCATGATCTTGATGAGTTTTACGAAGATACGATTAGGAATCACATTCAGAACAACAACCAAGAAGGACGAGAAGATATTGTCGATGTTATGCTCAAGATCGAGAGGGAACAGCTCGCAGTTGGGGACAAACGGTTCACAAGGAATCACATTAAAGCAATTCTAATGGTAATTAAGATATAGTTCGTTTTAGACGAAGAGAGCTGTATGTTTAATTTTGTGCAATAATAATGTAACTATTGGTATTTAGGGTTTTAACCTTGTCTCTTTATATTCCAACATATGAATATTCTTACAGGATTTGCTTGTAGCCGGGATAGACGCCCCAGCTACAGTGCTAACATGGGGGATGACAGAACTGATCCGAAACCCTAGAGTGATGAAGAAGGCGCAAACCGAAATCAGAAACCGGATCAAGAACGAAGGAATGGTTAAGGAAGAAGATCTAGAGAAGCTCGAGTATCTCAGAATGGTGACCAAAGAAACACTGAGGCTTCATCCCTCGGGAGCCATGCTACTCCCAAGAGAATCAATGTCGGAATTCAAGATCTGCGGCTACGACATAGACCCTAAAACCCGAATAGAGGTGAACGTGTGGGCGATCGGGCGAGACCCGAGTGCCTGGAAAGATCCGGAGGAGTTTTTTCCGGAGAGATTTATCAAAAATGAAATCGACGTGAAAGGGCAACACTTTGAGCTGTTGCCATTTGGAGGAGGCAGGAGAAGTTGCCCGGGAATCAACACGGGGCTGAGCTTGGTGGAGCTAGGGCTTGCGAATCTTCTGTACTGTTTCGATTGGAAGCTTCCAGAAGGAATGACCAAGGATGACGTGGACATAGAGGAAGCTGCTGGAATCTCTGTTCAGAAGAAGGTACCACTTCAACTTGTTCCCGTGAAAACAACAATTTGGAGTTGGGGTTTGGTTCAGACAAAAGTTCCAAGACCTGAGGCAAAGTATGTAATATCAGATATGGATTTATAAGAAGCATAACCAAAGACTATTTGAATTGCGTGGCCTCGATCATAACGTTGAAGTTATATATTGTTGGCCTGGCAAAGTTTAAGACTATGATTAAATTACGTTTGGAGCTTTATCTTCTTGTTATGTTAATCAAGTATTATAAATGTATTCTGCTCATTAAGTCATGTAACCATGTTTCCATTAATTATATATATATTTTTTATGTAATCAATTATATATATGATCTAACTAAACTCGTTAAATTTGTGTCATAACATAATTTTAAGGGTAAAACCAATAAAAATTCTTAAATTTACAAAATAATGAAAACTAATTCCTAAATTTTTGTTTAACAAATTTATTATCAAAATTGTAAAATATATCATTATAATTCCTAAATTTTTTAATTGGTGTCAGAAAAAATCTCGATAATATTGATACATAAATCAGTTTAGAAATTATAATGATACATTTTGCAAATTTGTAAATTATAATGACACAAACTTGAAAATAAATTTATCGAATTAAAAAAGTTTAGAAATTAGTTTTTTTATTATTTTACAAATTTAAGAATTTTGTGGATTTTACCTAAACTCTATAATAGTTTGAATTTGTAATTATAGCTTAATGCGATATTATAAATATGAAGATTAGTGATCCTCATTGAGTCTCCATTTATAAAAAATAATATACCCTCGTCTATTTGTTTTATGCTGTTCTTGCTGTATGTGAATTAAGATAAATATGTTGAAATAGAAACAAAATATGGAGATTTGATATGATTGATAATAATTAAAGGCATTATATCAATTAAGAATAAAATATATATCGTGTCAATTATATTTTGTCTTATTTGTTTCTTTCGTATCTTTATTTACTTGTTTCTTTCAATAACTTTTCCTATAAATGTATGGATTATTTTCATTGTAATGTAATAAAAAGAAGAGATGTAGCAATAAAAATATTTCCGTTCTTTTATATTTTGTTCTTTCTTTCTTTCTAATTTAATTTCCACATTTTATTTTTCAATATGGTATCAGAGCAGCGTTGCGATCTGGACTATATGTTTCTCTTTTTTTTTCTAATTTTCTAATCTCTTCTTTCTTTTGCATTTTCGATAAAATGGAGTAAAAAAACTGGATTCAAACGATGTGCTATGACAAAAAGAAGTCAAAGCTAAAAACTCTAAGATCAAGCAAGATGCTATGACAAAAAGAGTTAAAACTAGAACTTTAAAGTCAAACGAAGTGATTTGAAAAAGGTTAGTACTCTCTAAATGAATGAAATTTGGTGTCTATGGATTGTTCTAATAACAGTGAAGTTTTTCATCATTTTGTTTTATCTTCAAGATTGATTTTTGAATTCTTTCAAAATCAATCTTGAGGGGAATGTTGAAATAGAAACAAAATATGGAGATTTGATATGATTGATAATAATTAAAGACATTATATCAATTAAGAATAAAATATATATCGTATCAATTAAGAATAAAATATATATCGTGTCAATTATATTTTGCCTTATTTGTTTCTTTCGTATCTTTATTTATTTGTTTCTTTCAATAACTTTTCCTATAAATATATGAATTATTTCCATTGTAATGTAATAAGAAGAAGAGATGTAGCAATAAAAGTGTTTCCGTTCTTTTATATTTTGTTCTTTCTTTCTAATTTAATTTCCACATTTTATTTTTTAATAAAATATACATAAATTTGTGTAGAAAACTACTTCGGATTAACGGCAATTTACACCAAATGTATCGCAATTAAGCGATCTAATCCCTAAATCTTATATTCTAAACCCTGATTTTTACTACGTTCTTTTATCGATACATAAGACTGGAGAATAATCTTAGATTTGCACAAAAACTTGTCGGGTTGATGAACTAAGCTTTCAACAATACTTTGAAAAGTTCCACCTTGCATGAAAGTTGTCTGAAATTCAATATATGTTTTGAATTATTTTTATTTACATTTAGGATTTTTCTCGAGTATATGATTTTTTCTGTGCGTTTGTAAAAAATCACTTTGAGATGAGCGAAAATTTCAACATTCATTTATGAAAATTAGTTAAAAAAAAAACAACCTAAAAATGCATGATGAGTTGTTTGTAATTTCATTGCCCATGGTTTTTGATAACGCAAAAATAACGTTTTTTTCTCTCTAGTGATTTAAATGATTTTTGGTGGCGTAACCACTTTTCAATATTAGCTAAAAGCGTTTTTTATAAATGTATATATTGAAGGTTTTGATGAAAATTATGTATACGTTAAGTTATTATACTATTACATAAAAAAAATTGATAATATTTTAAAAATTCATATAATTAATTGTTTACAAAATTTTTATTTATACGTAAAAATATGTATTTTATTTGAGAGTTTTTCACATGCATTTTTATGAAAATTTCAATTAAAGCAAAAGCGGTCGTGATCCAAAGAGAGAATTGGTTGTGCACTCATTCATGTCCTGGAGGGACAAAAACCACAGTTTAAATAACCGAATCGTTTGCGAAGCGAAACGGTGTCCTCATTCCGATTCCAAGGCAAAAAAGCAAAAACACCAACGATGTTTTCATTACAAATCCTTCAATCATGTCCTCTACCACTGCTCACCCTCGCAGTCTTTATCTTCATCCTCAACGCCGCCACGAAGATCATTCATCAGAGTCCCCGGCGGAGGCGGCGACTGCCTCCGGGACCTCCGGCGATACCCATCATCGGAAACTTACATCAGATCGGAGAATTGCCTCACCGTTCTCTCTGGAAGCTCTCTCGAAAGTACGGTCCTCTCTTACGCGTAAAGCTTGGTTCTGTCCCGACCGTTGTTGTCTCGTCCCCTGAAGCAGCACGGGAATTGCTCAAGTATCACGACCTCCAAACTTGTACCCGTCCAGCTATCGCACGTGCTAGCAGACTGTCATATGACTTCGCGGACATCGGATTTTCACCGTACAACGATAACTGGAGAGAAGTGCGAAAGATTTGTATTCTCGGGCTTTTAAGCGTGAAAAGGGTGCAGTCTTTCAGGTACATCAGAGAAGAAGAGGTCGAGTCTCTTGTAGAAACGCTATCCCGCCATTCTGTTTCAGGAAAGCCGGTTAACTTGAGCGAGAAGTTAATGTCGCTGGCTATTACAATGATCTTTAGAGCTGGATTAGGGATGAGTTCCCACGGGATAAAAAAGAATATCGAGAGGTTTCGAGGGTTAGTCGATGAAGGGGGCACTATTCTCGGTAGATCTTCGGCTGCGGATTTCTTCCCATACGTGGGCTGGATCGTGGATTGGGTCACGGGTCTTCACAGAAGGCGAGAGAAGTGTTTTCATGATCTTGATGAGTTTTATGACGATACGATTAGGAATCACATTCAGAACAAGAATAAAGAAGGACCAGAAGATATCATCGATCTCATGCTCAATATGGGGAGGGAGCAACAGCTCGAAGTTGGCGACGAATGGAATCACATTAAGGGAGTTCTCATGGTAAATTAAGATATATAATCCTTCTTTTTATACATCTTTTCGTATTCCAACGTGCGAATTCCTGCTCGAGTTTTCTTGTAAACCTCTTTCGCGTTTGCAGAATCTGGTTCTAGCCGGGACAGACACTTCAGCTTCAGCGCTAACATGGGGGATGACAGAACTGATCCGAAACCCTAGAGTGATGAAGAAGGCACAAACCGAAATCAGAAACCGAATCAAGAACGAGGGAATGATTAAGGAAGAAGATCTAGAGAAGCTCGAGTATCTCAAAATGGTGGTCAAAGAAACATTTAGACTTCACCCCCCTGGAGCCGCGTTAATTCCGAGAAAAGCAATGTCGGAATTCAAAATCTGCGGCTACGACATAAACCCTAAAACCCGAATAGAGGTGAACGTGTGGGCTATCGGGCGAGATCCGAGTGTTTGGAAAGATCCGGAAGAGTTTTTTCCGGAGAGATTTATACAAAATGAAATCGACCTGAAAGGGCAACACTTTGAGCTGTTGCCGTTTGGTGGAGGCAGGAGAGGTTGCCCAGGAATCCACATGGGGTTGAGTTTGGTGGAGCTAGGGCTTGCGAATCTTCTGTATTGCTTCGATTGGAAGCTTCCAGAAGGAATGACGAAGGATGACGTTGACATAGAGGAAGTTTTTTCTCTCTCAGTTCACAAGAAGGTACCTCTTCAACTTGTTCCGGTGAAGTACAACAATTCCAGCTGAAGTTAACGTGTCGTTCAGACAAAAGTTCCAAGATCTAAGGAAAAGTATGTAAGATCTTATATACAACTAAGCATTATAACCAAAGACAGTTCACAACTCATTAGAAGTATGGTCAGATTATTGAATTCACAGTACTGGTGAAACCTGTAACCTTTCTTGGCTCTTCTCGCACAATAAATCTAGATAATTAATGCTATTTATATTATCTTTTTTATGTTCTTTATATTGCTTGTTTTTACTTGAACTTTTTATTTTTATTTTTATACAATAACAATACTTAATGTCATTTATAATTTTTTTTTCAGTTAATGTTAATTAGCAAGATACGTGATTTTTTCATGGAATATCCAATTATATATATGATTTTATTTTTGTGTGTACATAACCACATTGAGATGAACAAACGTTCAACATTACATGGCATTTTTTTTGTTCCTTACATTAAAGGATTTTAAAAATCTAAAGGATTTATATATGATTTTTTTCTCAAATTATATTAATTAAGAAGATGGATGAGTTTTGTCATGTTTTTTTTGTGAGTTCATAAAAATGTCCATAACTTGTTTCTTAATTTTGTACATAACCACTTTTGGGCTCCACCTTTAAATGAAATCCAAAACGAGTTTAATGAAATTTTGATTTTTTGGGTTTTCTCAGTTGTGATTATAAGATGTATGGAGCTTTCTATTTTTCTTTTTTAAATTTAAATCCATTTATACACAACCAAGTCAGATGCTCGGTTTAAGCAGAAAACCGGAGATCAACAAACTTAACGATCTGAATGTACAAAATGACTATATTACCCTTTTACGAAACGCCGCGTTTTGGCCATAACGGAGTCTTCCTTCTTTCCTTCTGTTTCATGCCGAAGGTTCCCCTGTTGTTCGTTTTTTGTTCTTCTTCTTCGAGATCTTTGGCATCAATGTTCCGACACATAGATACCAAACACATTTACAAACAATACAGATTATATACAAACACGTTAAATCAATTCTTATGGCGAATTCTCTATCGAATATCTCGAATTTGAACCAGACATTATCTGAATTTTACGTTGTTTTTCAAATTCTTATTTAAAATATGTTTTTTATATATGAATGTGATTTTTTTTTACACTTCGAATATGTTTAATGTGAACAAGAACAATATAAAACTGAAATCTTCTGTTCTTGGAAAATATATTACAAAAGAGGAAGGAGAAAAGATTACTCGTCTTCGGCTTCAATCAGACTCTCGGACCTTCTAGTTCAGTCCAAGGCTTTTAAACCCTCTTCCTTTCTCCGAAGTTTCCCCTATCCCGCCCATGAGGATGCATAAGATTTGACAGTTACGACTTATCAGTTATCACCAACGTAAACTATATTAAAGCCTTTACCAACTTTAAGCGTTATTGTGTCAAGCATGTATCAATAATATATTCATCGAATTTCAATAGGAAATCAATTTTTAAATCTAATAATCCGACACATGATTAAGTGTAATATATCGTTTCAATTTGTACACCAAACAAAACCGAATACGCTCAGATTCAGTTTGGTCGGACATCGCCAAATGGCAAAAACCCTTCACAACAAGCCATCTATATTAAACATTACCCCGAATATATACACACATATATGTATATATATGCGTGTATACCAAAACACACGTGTCATAGTGACCAGCTATTTTATACAAAGATATATCAGAATGAAAGATGCTAGAATTTTCTATTGTAAACTTTATATTATAAACCTATTATATTTGCAAATGCAATGTGAAAAATAAGAGATGCTGAAACCATTTGTTAGATTAAATTAAGTTCGAAAATATTTTAATATTTTGCAAATGCAATCTGAAAAATTAAAAGATGCTGAAATCATTGTTAGATTAAAATATTATGAAACTTTAAACAAAAAATATTTGTTAGATTTTAACCAAAAAATATATATATTTGTTAGATTAGATTAAGTTCGAATATATTTTAATATTTAATAGTATTCGGATTGGTCAGGTTCGATTTTAGGTATTTTATGTATCGAATGCTCACTTAATCAATCAATTAATACATGCACACACAATCTAATCTAGCAAACACATGGTATGTATGTATGTATGTATGTATGTATGTATGTATGTATGTATGTATGTATGTATGTATGTATGTATGTATGTATGTATGTATGTATGTATGTATGTATGTATGTATGTATGTATGTATGTATGTATGTATGTATGTATGTATGTATGTATACGGTTAGATATGTATTACAAAATGAAATTAAAAATCTTATAAAATCTCAGTGACAATTAATCTAACCAAGATTCTGCAAAATCCCAACTGCTCTTTGACTTGTTCAAGTTTTTAACTCCTGATTACTGAAACTTCCCTGCAATTCTCTGGCTTGCACCCATTTTGACACGTGTCCTCAATTTTAACCTACACACCTTTGTCTACAACCCAATTTAGGTCTTACCAAACATTTTTATAAGCCTACCCAAACTCGTCCCATAAACCTAAATGGGTTACACATATATATATGTTGTGTGTGTGTGCGCATTTATGATACATCACATGTATATATATTTAAATTGGTAATATTGCAATTTCATAACTTTCACCGGTCATAAATATTCGGAAATCAGATGTCCGTGAAACTAATATAATCTAATATGCTATCATCTGGTCCAAACAAAACTAATAATTCATAGTAAGTTAATGTATTTCAAATGAAATAAACAAAAAAACATTTAGTAATAGATATAGTCTATTTCATTTAATTATCTTAATATGGACTATATATTGTATAATCTGTATAATTTTGAACAGTTCTGAATTGAAGAGATTGGGTCATATTTTTCCAATTTATAATGATAATTTAATATTATTAGAGCTTATCTCTCAGTGGATAGGTGGAATGTCACAGTTATCAAACTCCTTGACCAGGAAAACATCAAAAGCCTGGGTTTTATTTTTTAAGTTAGAATGTACTAATTTCAAATTAATAATCGAATTTTATCAAATGGGGAAAAATATGGGCAATTAATGTCGGTTTAAATCTAGCTAGTATTCGATAATTATCCTTCCGAAGGGATGGTTGACCAAAGATCGCCGTTCCTTGTAACGAAGATTGCGTGCATGTTTTATCCATCTCCATCAAAACCCATATGCATATGCACAATACATACATACATACATACATGCATACACACTGAAATACATAAATACTATATATATGGATTTATATATGTATACAGAAAACTGACTCCGCGATCTATCTTCAGCAGATTCGGAATATTTCTGGGTGTGGGCACGGAGTCGATCCACAGGTAAATCCGCAGATGATTAATTAATCAATTTAGTTCTTCAATTTTCTGTTTCAATGGAGGGTTTCGACGAGTCGGCGATTGAACGAGTCGCCGGAATTTTGAAAACGACTCAGTGACACTGACAAGATTTGTAATTTATAATTTATTTCTATGGCAATCACTGAGAAACTTACAGTTCCATACTTGCGTTTAAAAAAATCGAAAAAAGGAGAAGACTTTGATTAAAATCCATTGTCTTAGTCTTCTGGGTTGAGAAATCTTCGGCCAATTGAAGTTACGGTCTTGAAAAAAAACAAATTCACGATCTGACATATATAGATGAATCTGTAAAAGCTGTTCTTGTCGTGTTTCTGTGGGGTTTACATATGCTCGAGTTCTTGCAGGCGGTGCTGTTGTTCATCTTGTTCTGGCTCTTGTTGTCCGTGATGGGGAGCAGCGGTTCGAAACGCGCGACCGGGGATCGGCGTTATTCTGCAAGCGCGTCTGCAAACGCGTCTTCTTCTGCGTGGGGGCCGCAATATTACCAGCAGAGTCCCTTCCGCAGCACGCCGCAGAACCCGTACTCAACTCCTCGTTCCCCTTACACTCCTTCGCGGCAGACGCAGACGCAGTCGCGGACGCAATCGCAGTCGCGGAAGCAGTTTGAGAGGAAGTACTCGCGGATCGCTGATAACTACCGTTCCCTTGATGAGGTCAGGTTAATTTACAGAATCTGCCAGAGTTTCTTGGCGTTTTGAAGGGAGTCTTGAGCTTTTTCTGCGTTTGATGTTCCGTGACAGGTTACCGTTGCTCTTTTGCAAGCGGGATTGGAGTCCTCGAATCTGATCGTCGGTATCGATTTCACGAAGAGCAACGAGTGGACAGGTGAAAGAAAGATTCTTACGTTGTTTCAGGTTTAAGTTAATGTTCTTGTTCTTGTTCTTGATTGCTGCAATGATTTGATTCAGGGGCAAGATCATTCAACAGGAAAAGCTTGCATCACATTGGATCCACTCCAAACCCTTACGAGCAGGCGATTTCCATAATCGGAAAGACGTTATCTGCTTTTGACGAAGATAACTTGATCCCGTGTTACGGGTTCGGAGATGGTAATGACGACGACAAAGACTCGGTCTTTGGATTCGGGTTCTTGATTTCGAAGCTTGATGTTTGTTTTTACCTTTGAATTCTCCAGCTACGACACATGATCAAGATGTATTTAGTTTCTATCCCGAAGATAAATTCTGTAACGGGTTTGAAGAAGTCCTCGTCCGTTACAGAGAGATCGTTCCCCAGCTCCGGCTTGCAGGTTTAACAAATGGAAGAATACCCTTTTTCTTCTTTTGTACTGCATTTCTTTCCGTTCTACTGTTACATGATTGTGTCGTTATTGTCGTTGCAGGACCGACGTCTTTTGCGCCTATCATCGAAAGGGCCATCACCATTGTCGAAGAAAGTGGCGGCCAGTACCATGTTCTTGTCATAATCGCCGATGGACAGGTAAGAATCTTCGAGTTCTGTTTCGTCTGAAACTGTGTTTAACTAGAGGAAAAGGCTCGGGTTTCGCTCTTGTCTTGTCGATACCTCGATCCTTTCAGACATATGTTTGATTAAGTTCGGTCCGTATGCTGTGTCAGGTAACAAGAAGTGTCGATACAGCGAACGGTCGGCTCAGTCCACAAGAGCAGCAGACCATTGATGCCATTGTTAGGGCAAGGTAAATAATATGTTCATGAAAATATTTTCCCTTATGTACAAATGTGTATATAACCCCATTAGAGCTTAGAATGAAGTTAAACGAGAACAATCTCCTCTGTTTCCTCTGTTTACAACTTTCCCTCACTTTCTCTCCTTTTCTTTCTATCCAAACACGTTTTGTGTTGGATCTGAAACCTTAAGTTCAGATATACTGCTTGTGATGATGGGTTTATTCCGTAGTTTCTGATGAGTTTATGCAATTTGCAGTGGATATCCTTTGTCGATAGTTCTTGTCGGGGTTGGAGACGGTCCGTGGGATACCATGAGACAGTTTGATGACAACATCCCGGAACGTTCCTTCGACAATTTCCAGGTAACGTAAAACAAAAGGCGTGATTCCGATCATACTTCAAGATAGCTGCAAGCAAATGCCTGAAATCTGTGCCGAGTGCTTTTGAACAGTTTGTGAATTTCACCGAGATCATGTCAAAGGGCGTCGATCCAACGAGAAAGGAGGCTGAATTCGCTCTCTCGGCTTTGATGGAGATACCGTCGCAGTACAAAGCCACCCTCGAGCTAGGCTTACTCGGGTAAATTTTACTAAATCTATCGGTTTTTTCGAGTGATCATTGTAACTTTGCAGGGTCATGATCTGTTTTTACTACAACCTCTTTCTCTGTCTCGGCATTACAGGCGAAGAACCGGGAGTTATCCAAACCGGATCGCTCTTCCTTCCGCCGCCTATTAGCATCACCCCGTCTTTAAGCAACGGTTCGAGAAATTCCCGGGTAAGCAGCTTTCAGAACAGGACGCCGCATAATGCTTATGGATATGATACCGGCGTTGCCACGGCCCCGCCTTCAACCTCAAACAACGATACACAGGTATGTGCACTGGAAAACACAAGATAAATATATACGGCCACGAGATCGGAACGATCTATCATCGTGGCATTTGGCGATCGAAAAACCGATTGATTTAATCACAGTCGCGACAAAACATGGAAAAATCAAAACGCAGCTTTCCACTTGCGTTTGCCGGGTTTTGATAAAATGACGAAAATACCCTGGATTTGCTAAAGTCACTCATCAATCATCTGTTTCTGTTTCTGTTGTGCGGGGTTAAAACAAAAAACATCAAAGCAGGTGTGTCCGGTTTGTTTTGGCAATCAAAAGAACATGGCCTTCAACTGTGGTCATCAGGTGAGATCTCACCCTCCTTGTCTGCCATCTTTTCTCGAAACGGCTACTACGCATACGCGATTTCGCGCTTTCTAACGACATCGGCCGTGTGTTTTTTTTTCTCGTGTCGGGACAGACTTGCTGTGAGTGCGGAGAAGACCTGCGTACATGCCCCATCTGCAGGAGCTCGATCTCGATCCGTATAAAGCTCTATTAAGAATGGTTTTGAAACGGCCGGGCTCCGAAAATGGTGGCCAGAACATTGAGCTCTGATGCCGTATTTCTGTTCTCGAAGGGGAAAATAAGAGTAGAATGGTCTCTGGGATCAATCTCCAAGCCTCAAGTGATGATGGAACCCGTACGTTTAACGGTTTTATGCTTCGCTCGTTCCTTTTCTGTAAATAGTCGCTTTCGTATCCGTCTACGTTGTAAGATCCTGCGAGTTAGGATAAACTTCTTGGATTTCGATTCGGGTTTGGTTATTTTTGTTTCAAATAGCTATAACCATGCCGTTTTATATTTATATTCGGTTTGGATTTGGTTCCTTTAATTGATAAAAATAATAATTTTTACAAATATTCAGTTTTTTTCTTTATTTTTCCAAATTCATTTTCTATTTAGTTTAATTTTTTACAGTTCTTGTAATTTGAATACATCTATCTATTTTTTCTAAAATCAGACTAGAAATGGCCATCCGATGATCAGAGGTTCAAGCGTAACCGTCAGACTGTTTTTCATATATAACATAATTTGTCAATTTTTTATGGATATAATTTTTCTAAAATAAAATAAAAAATTCGAGTAGAATACCGAAAATATTAAATGCGAAGCCCAATCGGCCCATTTAGAACCACGCAATTGCGACTGAAGTTGTATTTGGCCCATAGGTTTTTTAATCTGAAGCCCGATCGGCCCGTTTAGGTTTCAGAATTGATTTCAATTTACGAAGTTGCCACTGTCATCGAGTTAGGGTTTTAAACACCAGCAAACAAAGAGCCGAGTCATCTTTTGCTCTCAAATCTTCTGCACTGCACCTCTTCCATTTCTCCAGTTCATAGTGAGCAGAACCACGATCCGTAGCCGAATCGGATCGCTGAAGGCGAAGGTTTGGAAATGGCGTTGGCGTTCGATGAGTTCGGACGGCCGTTCATTATACTGAAGGAGCAGGAGCAGAAGACGCGTCTTCGAGGTCTCGATGCTCAGAAGGCCAACATTGCCGCTGGAAAGGCTGTGGCTCGGATCCTCCGTAGCTCTCTCGGACCCAAGGGAATGGATAAGATGCTTCAGGGACCCGACGGAGACGTCACCATCTGTTAGTCTCTTCATTTGATCTCGTCTTTGTTTGGTGCTTCATTTCCGTCGTTCTTATCGATCTGAAGTTTTTTGTATGCTTAGATTTCAGATTAGAATTTGAGATTTGACCGTTCGATTGAAGATCCATGTAGTGTTTGGCTGTACAGTTGTTGAAAATGTGGATTCTCGTAGGTTCTGTAGGTGTAATAATATTAGACTATTAGTATATGATAAAATTGGTCGCTAAGGCCACTGGTTCCTTCAAATGTTACTATTAATGTTTCACTGATGTTCCGTGATAGAGTATTTGTCGATTATTTCTATTCAAATTCGCATCATGTCATAGCTCCATGCCATTTTTTTTTTCTGGAACTCGGAATCTCTTCAAACTAAGTATGCCATTTTCCATATTCGTATCTCTCATGTGCCAGAGTTGGTGAGACTATTTTATCGAATGATCATGTTATTTTTGTGCATAACTTTGTTATTCTTGTTTTCCAGCGAATGATGGTGCAACCATCTTGGAGCAAATGGATGTCGACAACCAGATTGCCAAGCTGATGGTTGAACTCTCCCGAAGTCAGGATTATGAGATTGGTGATGGCACGACTGGTGTTGTTGTCATGGCTGGCGCTCTTTTGGAGCAGGCTGAGCATCTTCTAGATAGGGGGATTCATCCTATCCGTATTGCTGATGGATATGAGATGGCTTCGCGAGTGGCTGTTGAAAATTTGGAGCGTATAGCACAGAAGTTTGAATTTGATGCTAATAATTTCGAACCGCTGGTTCAAACCTGCATGACGACTTTATCCTCTAAGATGTAATCTTTGATTTTCTGAGCGTAGATTAAAGTTGTCATTTCCTTTATGTAAATTCTGTATTGTTGGTTTATAGAAAGACCGTCTTAACCTTTTTTTTTTTGGTGTTCATTTGCAGTGTGAATCGGTGCAAGCGCAGTTTAGCTGAGATTGCTGTTAAAGCTGTTCTTGCTGTTGCTGATTTAGAGAGGAAGGATGTTAATTTAGACTTGATAAAAGTGGAGGGAAAAGTTGGGGGTAAGCTGGAGGACACTGAGCTTATATACGGCATTGTCGTCGACAAAGACATGAGCCATCCGCAAATGCCAAAAAAAATTGAAGATGCAAAGATTGCTATTTTGACATGCCCCTTTGAGCCGCCTAAGCCAAAGACTAAGCATAAGGTGGACATTGACTCTGTCGAGAAGTTTGAGACTTTACGTAAGCAAGAGCAGAAGTATTTTGATGACATGGTGCAAAAGTGCAAGGTAAGTTTGAAAATCTGGAGGTGCTCCATGTGGGCATATTTAGTATTTCTTGTCGTGACAAGCCACCAAAAATGGTACTTCCACGAAGTTGCTTGGACTTCATGTCAAGCTCTGTGTTGTTTTCCTTTTTTTGGTCCTGAACCAACATTGCAATGTTCAGTTATTGTGCATTATCCTTGTCATTTGAATTACAGGATGTTGGTGCTACACTGGTTATATGTCAATGGGGATTCGATGATGAAGCAAACCATCTGTTGATGCACAGGAATTTGCCTGCCGTCAGATGGGTTGGGGGCGTGGAACTAGAACTTATTGCAATAGCAACAGGTTAGTACATTATTCCTAGCAGTAGCTTCTGTATCGTCTTCCCGTACATATATAAATGAGCCGATCTTTTACAGGTGGGAGGATTGTTCCTAGATTTCAGGAGTTGTCCCCAGAGAAGTTGGGGAAGGTATGTTTACTTTCAATAGGAGCTGATAGCTTGTTTGGGATCTAATGTAGATGCATTTCACAAGCTGCTTGGTTTTCTGCTCTCGATGATTATGTTTAGGCTGGCTTGGTTCGTGAAAAATCATTTGGCACAACAAAAGAACGTATGCTGTATATTGAGCACTGTGCGAATTCAAGGGCTGTCACCATATTCATCCGGGGAGGTACACATGCATGCTACTGGTCACTTTCTCACAGCCCTTTTTGTTAGAGCACAGATTTAATGATCGAAATTGGAGAAATTATGACAGCTTAAGGGTACATCATTGGCAAGATGTGTTAAAATTGATTGACTGGACTGAACAATGTATGTCATGGTGTGGCAGGTAACAAAATGATGATAGAAGAGACGAAGCGCAGTATCCATGATGCTTTATGTGTCGCTAGGAATCTCATCCGCAACAATTCGATAGTATATGGTGGTGGAGCAGCCGAGATTGCTTGCTCTCTTGCTGTTGATGCGGCTGCAGATAGATACCCGGGCGTTGAGCAGGTAAGAAGTCTTGAAAACTGCAATGCGGAAGCTAAATAAGAAATATAGAGAAGAGAAAAATAATTTTATATCTCTTCTTCTCCTTGAATTAAAATGAAAAGAGCTCCCATATTTATATATAAACTAGCGAAATAAGTTACACTGAAATACAATATGAAGGAAAATATAGCCGAACACAATTAACACTTTGATTCTTAATTGATTTTGTGTTTTCCAATCATCTTCGAAGTCCATAATTACTTCCAATCAGCTCATTTTTAAGTGTTGTAACTTCTATTTACATGCTTAGTTCTGAGTCTTTCCTCTCTGCAGTATGCTATTCGGGCATTTGCAGAAGCTCTGGATTCCGTCCCTATGGCTCTTGCCGAAAACTGTGGCTTGCAACCCATCGAGACTCTCTCTGCAGTTAAATCTCAGCAAATTAAGGTACACACATGTAGATGTCTGAATAGGTTAAATCTTGTCCTGTGATCTCTGTACTAGATGATGACTTACAATAACTCAAACCCTGATTTCTTTTTTTCTCTTGGGGGGTGTATAGGAGAACTTTCCCTTCTATGGAATCGACTGCAATGACGTAGGAACAAACGATATGAAGGAGCAAAATGTATTCGAGACACTTATCGGAAAGCAGCAGCAGATATTACTTGCGACACAAGTCGTTAAGATGATACTGAAGATCGACGATGTTATCTCTCCAGCCGACTTCTAATAGGTTTTGTTGTGTTGTGCCTTCCTTCACTGCCCGCCCAATCTCTTTGAGGTTTTTGCTTACTCTCTCTAGCGTGTGATACTTTTAACACTACACAATGCTCTTCCATAGTTCCCTGTCTTTCTTCTGGTTGGTGTGTGTTGATTTTGATTTGCCCATCATACATTAAGATATGGAATGAGATTTCGTTCTTGGAGTAGTGTTTATCGATCTTCGTTGTAGGACTGGTGTGGGTATCTGGATTTTGAGTACACATGGGTATTCGGCTCCCGGAATTTGGGTACTCGGTCAATGGTGAGATTGCACATAGGTTTGTCCAGATGGGTATCCGCCGTTAGAATTCGGGTTTCATCTGGCCATTACCCGTACTCACGGGTAACCCGAGTCAAACGGGTGTGATGCCGCGAGAGGGTGAGGAAACGATTCCAAGGCGATTAAGGTTTGGTGATGGTTTTTTAAATCAGATTCCTTTAGGGATTTGACTTTTTTGAGGGCGAGAGGCAGCAAGAGGGCGAGGAGTCGATATTGCGATTTCGGTTTTGCCTTTTCGCTCGTCTTTGAGTCGCCTCACGCTCTACTCTCTCCCCTCAATTTGCCAGCCGTCTCATCCCCTTGTCTCTCTGGCCAGGTATCCGAAACTCGGGTATTTTCACTAGGCTGAGACCTGAGACCCTAACCGAGAAACCCGAGGGGGCAAAACCGATGTTGGATATATCGAAATATCTAGGTATCCAATCCGTACCTGCCTCTACCTTTACCTTCAATGGAATGACCAGGATGAACGATGCCGGTCGAGTAACGATCAAGCAAAAAATAAAACGATTGAATAGTGTATGCTGGGCATTGTGGTTCTTTAGGACCATCATCATTTATGTTTGATTGGGATTGTGAAGGGAAAAAAAAATTGGTTGTGTCGGCTTGCCTTCAAATCCTGCTTTTGGCGAGCAGAACAGAGTTAATGCCTCTGTTTCTTGTTGCCTTCTGCCGACAATTTCACATATGCTTTGTTTTGCTTCCTTTTTTCTTTAATTCATATGAAATTGGTCACCCCATTTTAGGTAGGTTTATGTATCCGTACTGTCGAAATGAAATGACACTTTGGCGTTACCATTGGATCTATATATATATATATATAACTATTTTGGTCACGGACAAGCCATGTCCCCCGTACGAAATGCACGATATAGAACTTGTCCACATGGGAATGCGTTTGAATCAGTCCAAATGTAAATAGTCAATAATCAAGTTTTCACTTCAACCCTATAATCATCAAAAACTTTTTAAATGAACGCCGACACGTTTTTTATGGTTTTCTTTCGGATGATTTTTATGGACTCGAACCAAGGTTCCACTCGTATGGGATTCGATCATTGGTTATAGGGCTGATTATCGTGTATTTGAAAAGAGGGTATTGGGATAATGATGTGAATTCAAGTTTGAAAACATGAAATATCCGATTTTTTTTTAATTCGGATTCGGACGAATTTAGGTTGTGAATTATGATATCCGAGTAGGAGGTGATGTTGGAGTTTTTATTACGAATTCGAGATCAGATTTCAAACTATAACATTAGAATCGTTGAGTTTAGGATATAGTGAGATTCTCATTTATTTGTAATATTTCAACGGGGTGCATTCCTAATTATCCAAAGTTATATCAACTTCTGCACAAATCCGGTGTCAAAATAGATATTAAATTTCAGGGAAAAAAAATATACACAAATAAAATATTATTATTAGTATTTTTGTTGAATTTTTTTAGAATTGGAATCTCTATGGGTGAGTGTGTTCCATTTGCATTCCCATTGGACGGCTCTTTTATCCATATGTTATGTTATATTTATAGATTGCATTATATAACTAGATTTTTGGGACAACCATTTGTCGTTAGAGAATTCTATGAGTGTGTACTTTTATGTGTGTGTGTGTGTATATATATATATATATATATATATATGAACAATTAATTTTTTCCCCAAAGGAAAAAGAAAAATCGAAATTGAATGGAGTGGGAGTGGGGCTCATTAAATGGGGTCGTGAAAGGAGTTTGATGGGTAAATAGACCTGACACTTTAATTAAAAGCACGTATTGTTTGTTGCCTTTTCAAAATTACACACATGTATGTATGTATGTATGTATGTATGTATGTATGTATGTATGTATGAATTTAATTTCTTCATCGAGATAATGCGAGAACATGATCTAGATCTGGTCCGAAGGTGGGGGGGCTCTGACAAACATATGTTGGTATTGACTTATTACAGATCTCGCAGAACCAAATAAATGCATTGTCATGATTCAACAACACCATGCCCAGATTACATCTTGTAACGAATTATTGTAATTCGATTAAATTGTTTTTTGCTAATACACCTTTCGACTTTCTTCATTTATTTGCATTTCGTTATATGACATGCACAATTAGAATATCATAGAATCCGTTATTATTTACGTTAATGTTAATTTGGATATTTTCGCTATAGAAAGAATATATAATAAGCTTTTTTTTTATAATAACAATACTACCAAGGCACAGCTCATGTAACCCCACACCACATAAGGCTTTTTTTTTTTTAATACACAAAGCTAGGAACCTTGTGTGGTGTTTATACATCGAATCCAACTTAGAACTAAACCCACAAAAAAAAAAGGTAAGAAAGTTGATTTACATTGGAGAATTTTAATTAAACATAAGATCAGATATTTGTTTATATATATATATTGGAACATTAAAAAAAAAAAAACAAGTCATCCTTAAATTAAACCGGATGATATATAGTATAATGTAGGGTGATGGATCTATTTGATTAGCAGCGAGACCCTTTCTTGCAGACGAGCGCGCCAGCGTTAGCCGTGACCGAAGCCACTAGGGTGGACGGCCTAGCCGCCAGGCTCGACGCCTTGGCGTAGCTAGACGAGGCTGCTTTCCCCGACGCCGTGAAGAATGCGCCGTTCAGAAACATGTCGCCCTCCGATCTCCAGTTCCATTTTTTCCACTCGCTTTGAGGTGCATCCTCGTATTTAGTCACCTGTTAGATCACATAATATCGTCATTTCGTTAATTACGTTTCGTTTGGAAACGAGAGCTAACAAAACCCGAAATTCGGATACCCAACCCTATATGAGACAGAAGTCGGATATCATTAAAAAAATGAGGATATCAATCAGGTCGATTCGGTCCGACCCGAACCCGCAGTCGGCCCGAAAGTTTTGGGTTTGAGTTCGGACATGCCCCATTTTTTTCATATAACTCAACTCGAACTCTGATTTGAATTCGACCTAAAAACCCGATTTTTTAGACCGAAAAATTAAGTCCGAAACCCGATCTTTTTCGGACGAGCTTAGGATTTCTTCTCTAAATTGACATCCTAAAAAGCTCGGTAGATGACGTGGCATTTTTTTTTTTATAATTTCCTTGAAGAACAAAGATGTTACCTCTTTGAAGACTCTGTCGTTGGGGGCAAGAAACCTATTGCCCTGGCTATTTATTGTTGGAGCTGCACTCCCTCCAATTGCATACATTTGCCAATGCGTGTAGTCATTGTTCACCACGTGAAAATAGCCATGTCTACATCTGTCAACATCCCAAAAATTACGGGGCGTAAATATAAATAACTCTAAAATACAGGGACCCATCTAAGATTTAAACTTTATCTCATGAAAGTTTTTTTTTTAAAAAAATTACCGGGGCATTCTCTGGACAAGACCTTCGCCAAAGTGATTGAAAGCAATGGTGACTTGCATGTTCTTGTCTCTTGTGTAGGAATCACTATGTCCTAAAAGCATGACTTTGTTGTGGTGGGTCATGTAGTTATTGGAGATCGTAATGGCCGTCGATCCGTGAATCGCGTCGATCAATCCGTCCTGACAGTTCGACAACGAGCAGTGGTCGACCCACACGTGCGAGCCGCCGAATATCGAGATGGCGTCCCCGTCGGACGCCGTCCGCCACCCGTAATGCGACGGGGAGTCCCGAACGTACGTATTCCCGGCTCTTTTACAGTCGTGGACGTTAATCCCGTGGATGATAATGTTCGTCACATACTGGATGGTGACACACGCGCCACCCGCGATGTGGACGCTGCTTCCGCGTCCGTCTATCGTCTTGAACGAGTTCATTATCAGTTCCTCTTTCAGCTTTATGACCATGTCCCGTGCGAATATGATCCACAGGGGCTCGTCCTGGATCACGGCGTGTCGTAGAGTTCCGGGTTTAGGGTTTACGGGATCTTTGTCGGTCGGGTCGGTGACCACGTAGATTTTCCCGTCCCGTCCGCCGATCGCGTGTTTGCCGAACCCAATCGCGCAATCGGCTAGACGTTGACGGTTTTTCTCCCAATGCGGGTCGCATCTCCAACAGTCGTCTATCGGATTGCCGTTCCCACACGAGAGTACACCTAGATTCCTCCTAGACGCATTTATCTTCCTACAAGACCCCACAAAAAAAAATTATTACAGCCGGTTTGATACATTATGGTAATTCATTATAAAAATATTGGGAATTTAAAAGAATTTTAAGTTTCTGTATACCTCAGTGCGTGCATTCAATTGAAAACATATATTCATGAGTATTTATATACGTATAGTAGACGTAGAGAGCGGTTTTTATACGTACTCGTTAACTTCTTGGACTACGAGTTCGGGGTCGGGGACAGGGGAAGAGGCAACGAAGGATGGAGGAAGGAGGTGGAGACAAGACAAGAGAGACAAGTAGTGAAGAAGCCCCATTGTTATGTTTTTTTTTTTTTGATGTTAGTTTTTTGTTGTGTGAGAATGGAGAGAGCCAATATGGTTTTTATAGCCAAAAACTCATTCCTTGATTTCTGCATATTAATTATGGAAGGCCCCACTGTCTTCAGATTCTGACTTTTTAGAAATCACACACAACCAACCAAAAATAAAAAAGAGGGAAATTAAATTTTTTAAAAAATTCTCTATATGCATAATTTAATAACACATAGTAAATGCATAATAATATATAATAAGACAGATTCCGGGAATAATTTCACCGTATCCAAGAATTTTGCTAGTGTTGTAGATGCCATCTCTTGTTTTGCATTTACCCACATGATGACAGAATCCGAGTATTTGTTCATTTGTTAATTCCTTCAATTTTTTAAAAAAAATCATAATTAGTATAAAAGTATGTTTTAATGGATATATATTATCATAGGAAAAAAATATTATTATGTAAAAAAATTGAAACGATGGGTTTGTATGAAATTCTCCATAATAATATATAATTAATAAGACTGATTCCAGGAATAAATTCACCTTGTGCGGCATTTGTCTATATATATAAATCATTGGTAAATAATCATGAATGTGTTTGCGGTAAAATGTTAATATTGAATTTGTCTCTTTTGTTAATTATTGATTACCTTTTACATCGTTCAAGGAATTGCATCCAAATCTGGTGGCCCTCCTTTGATTCGCTGCGCCGTAAATATGGTGCATGATCTTTGCATTTTCGCATATTATCACAATTATGTAATTCTAAAGCGTATATATTATAGTTTTTTTTTTGTTATTTCCCCGAGTAATTATTGCAAAATAAGCTAAAAGGAACCACTGGTGCTATCACCTAACCTTTTCTACTACATGATTTTTTATAAACTATATATAGAAAAAACCCGATCCGACGTGGCTCGCCACGTCACGCGCCACGTCGGATCAGTCAACTCGTTTTTTGACCAAATAACGCTATGGACGAATATGAAACCGTTTAACAAGTTCAGGATTCAACGTGTTCAATTTTGTAAGTTTGGGAATTAATAGACACCTCTACAAGTTTAGGAATTAATATTACTCTAAAATACAAGTTCAGTAATTTTTAGGGTTTTTTACCTATATATATATATATTGATTGTTTATATGAGATTTTATCATAGAATGTATGTAAAGGATATTAATTACAATAGTTGCATAATATATATATTTATAATATGCGTATTACATCTTTAATAAGCTCTTAATCACGTGATTAGCAGCTTTTCATCTCATGTAAATACCATATTAACAAATCTTCCAACAGCGTCAAACTCTTTTCACATTTTGTCTTTTTTCTGTTACATTTCTTTTTCAAAAATCTACTTTATACAAAGTTTTATAGATCATAGATTCGCACTTGAATGATTAAGGGAAAGATTAATTAAATTTAATTAAAAACATTTTCCGACAAAAGTATAATATTGTACGCATTTACTACATGTCCGAGATCCAAAAAAAGTACGTATAAACAGGTCTTGTTTTTTGGATTACATAAATTTTGGCTGACGTGGCAACCACATAAAATAAAGGCTCTTAGGGAAACGGCACGTTCGTCCATGTGAGCCTTGTCTTTCGAAGGATAATGCGAGCTGATGCCACGTCATCCTGCACTCTCGGGCCTTATATCAGCCGTCCGATTTATACCCTCTCTCAACATTGACCGTCCGATTACAGACCCAATAATCCCCCAATTATCATAGACTACCGCCACGTCATCATTCATCATCCACCACTAGTTTCCCGTCTTCGTTTCCCAGCTCACTCATTTGAAAACGCTGTCGTTTCATGGACTACGGTTGTACGTCTACGTAGTCGTTAAAAAAATCCAAAGAAAATTAATTAAACTAATAATGTGATTAATTCATCACGTGAACTATAATATGCTTAAATTCTGCAAGAACCAGAGAAAAAGGATCGCAAAAGAATTATAATGACAAAAAAGTCTCATAGATTTGCAGAAATGTCAAATTTCACGGGCTATATATGCACATAAATAAATAACTAAATAAATAATAGGGTCTTATATTAATTAAACCACCACTAGTACATTATTATTTTAAAATATTATGACAATGTTAGAAAAACTAATATATATATATATATATTTAATTGTTGTGTTATCAATTCCATTACAGAGTACTATTCATTTGCCGTGAGTTGTATTAGAAATGGATTTATACAATTTGGTTTGTTTGTATCATTTTGATAGGGAGAATCTCATATTTCACCACAATTTTACGAAAAAGTTCCAATTTCCTACACCAATTTTTAATTTGACAAAAAACTACACCGGATTTTAAATATTTCAAATTTCCACACAAAATATTAAAATGTGTTACAATTTCCCCCACATCCGTAAACAACGTTAAGTTCCGTCAATTTTAATGCTGACGTGGCATGCCACGTCATACAGATATCGCCAAATCAGCACATTTCGCCACATCATCAAGCCACGTCAGAAAATAAATTAAAAATAAATTAAAAATAAATTAAAAATTAAAAAATTCTAGATTTTTTTAAAAAACTAATAAAATAAAATAAAAATACAGAATTTCAAATTTTGATTTTTAAAAATAAAATAGAAAATTATATATACATATATATACACTTTTATATTTATACACAATTATATACATATACATATATACACATATATATCTACATACATAATTATATACATATATATACACACTTATACATTTACATACATATACACACTTTTACATATATGCACATTTTTTTAAAAAACTTTTAAAAAATTACAGTATTTTAAAATTTATTTTTTAAAAATAAAATAAAAAATTACATATACATATATACACAAATAATATATATATGTATATATATATTCACATATGTATATATACATATTCATATATATACATATATATCCATATATATACATTGAATATGTATATATATATATGTGAATATGTATGTATATGTGTGTAAATATATATATATATATACATACATATTCATATGCATATATATACATATATATATATATATATATTTATACATACATACATGCATACATACATATATACATATGTGTTATCCTTTATACATATATGTATATATGTATGTATGTATAAATGTATATATATATATGTATATATATGCATATGAATATGTATGTATATATATATATATATTTATACACATATACATAGTACATACATATTCACATATATATATACATATTCAATGTTTGAGTTTATATGGATATATATGTATATATATGAATATGTATATATACATATGTGAATATATATATATATATATATTATTTCTGTATATATGTATATGTAATGTTTTATTTTATTTTTTAAAAATAAATTTTAAAATACTGTAATTTTTTAAAAGTTTTTTAAAAAAACTGTGCATATATGTAAAAGTGTGTATATATATGTAAATGTATAATTGTGTATATATATGTATATAATTGTGTATAGATATACAAGTGTATATATATGTATTTATAATTTTCTATTTTATTTTTAAAAATCAAAATTTGAAATTCTGTATTTTTATTTTATTTTATTAGTTTTTTAAAAAAATCTAGAATTTTTTATTTTTAATTTATTTTTTATTTATTTTCTGACGTGGCTTGATGATGTGGCGAAATGTGCTGATTTGGCGAAATCTGTATGACGTGGCATGCCATGTCAGCATTAAAATTGACAGAACTTAACGTCGTTTACGGATGTGGGGGAAATTGCAACACATTTTAATATTTTGTGTGGAAATTTGGAAATATTTGAAATTCGGTGTAGTTTTTTGTCAAATTAAAAATTGGTGTAGGAAATTGGAACTTTTTCGAAAATTTGTGGGGGAATATGGGATTCTCCCTTTTGATATGGGTTTGATTTATATAAAAATAAAATTGTTCCCACTTAAGAAAAATTTCTTCAAAACCATATTTTTAATTGTTTTAGAATTCAATGGTATTATTGGTGGTTTTAATTAATTAGATAAAAAAAATGTAAAAAATATGTAGCCACACAATAAAAATGGGATAAAATTATTAATGAATATATATATAAAATAAGGAGGAATACCGAAATGAAGAAGACAAGAACCATTGTCACCGACAATGCAAGAACTAGAGGATCCAAACCAATAAGCCAAGATTCAAAAAGGGCACATGAACATTTTGGTTACACTACAACATCAAATGTACGATATTCTCCGGTGCTATATACCCTCCATTGCTTTTTTTAGTTAGCAATGATTACACTTTGGATGCAAAAATCCAATGAATATTAACAATTTGCTATATTTATATATAATTTATGTGTAGTATAAAAGATGTCTCATGTGTAATAGTGTTATATTATATAGATTCCTTTTTTTTAAATCAAATATTGTAAAGATATTAAAATGCAAGTGAAAAAAAAAATTTGTGTGATGTAACCTTATGGTAAAAAAATTGTAATAAAGCTATGTGTAATCGATTATTTAGTATCATAAATTAGGAACTTTTGAGATTTTTCTATGTAAACGTTTGGAGACTGCGTCACACTTTTTTTAATCGTTATTCTATAAAAAAAAATTATAAATATTTGAAAAAAATATAATATTGAGCATTATTATAGATAATATTTTTAAATTTTATTTTTATCTTCTACGCACATAATTTTTTTTTTTATCATTTTTCAAAAGTATGTATTATTATAAGGTGTTCAAATGAACGCTGAAATATTTAATTAATGTTTAGGATTTTTTAATTGAAAATATCTTTGCCCTTCATAACTGATTACACGTAAAAGTACGTATGTCGGTACATTGCTTGTACAAAAAGATAAACGGAATATACGAAAATGCATTTTGACTATCGTATAATATACATATACATATACATATATATATATATGATTAGATCAATACTGTTTTCAACGAGTGACGGAATATTAAATAAGGGGTTTTCTTCTCCTTGTGTTCACACATAACTCGGAGAAACGAATAATTATATATTATATATTTATAAAAAAAGAATCTAAAGAATAATAATGTTGATGGAAATTATTAATGAATTGATAAGAGCCCTGAAAAAATGGGTGACATAAAGAGAGAGTCACATGGGATCTCTGAAGCCATGTGCTCGTTGCTTTATCAATGCATGTATGATATATCCACGATAATGACATTTCTTCCACGAATTATTCTCTCTTTTTAATTATTAATACGTCTATAGAAATTATAATTTAAAGCTATTTATAAAAAGTAATAAACCAATCTAAGTTATGCAGTTAATGCGCATATAAAAGCATCAAAGTATTTGATTGTTCTTATTAATTTTTTAATAATAATAATAATAGTATTGTGTAAATAGTTATAATTAGTTTAATTAATTTCCATATTTGGTTTTATTTGATTTAGATTTATTGGACTAAAATAGATTAGTTAATCTTATTTTTTTTAATTCATTTGCTTTTTAATTGTGTAACCTCAATTGTAATAAAAATAATTTCGATTTAATGTTAGACACAATGAAAAGAATCATTATGAATCCTAATTTTTTTTTATATCATATTCAATATAATATCGCATTTATGGCATATATTTGAATACTTGTTAAGTGTTAACATACTTATATTTCAATATATATATATATATATATATATATATATATATATATATATATGATGAGAGATAAAATATCGGTTTGATTTATTTAAGATGAAACAACATCGATGAATATTTTTTTTTATCTATTCTTTATCTATGTCAGAGATAAAATATTGGTTTCAACGAAATAACGTTTTACTATTCTTTCATTTTCAACAAATGATTTTCACTTAAATTTTTTTTATCTATTTTCTTGTCTTTTTTATTAGTGTATTCATGATAGATATTATTATTTAAGCACGATCGAATATAATTTGGTAGTAAAATGACAACTTCCATTGGTTTGATGTATTATTTATTATAGATATTAGCTCTTGGTCATATCAATTATATTAGATAAATAGACTGCTTAAATTATTCGTGAATATGGATATATAAATTTCATTATACACATTTTTATTTCAAGTTGTGTAAGCAGATTTACGTTAATGAATTCGGTTGGTCCAACATTAAAATAATAACCGGAAATAACTAAATGGGGAAATGATTTCAAGCCCTCGAATGATTGGATCATGTGATGAGGTTAGGGAATTAATTATCTATAATAAACTGTAATCACCGAATCGAATGATTAATCGCCACCATCATAAAGTAATTATTTTAGATATTATGGGTAATTAGGAATCATGATAACGTAGACAACTATTAGGAATGCTAAAGTTCATTGGATAATATATTTTAATGCAACAATGAGAATTTTGGTTCTACAACAATATGATGATGAATGATGAATGATTATGCATTTTGATATCATTAATTTGTTCTATTTTTTAATTTATAGGCAGGAATTTTCGATTTGGATATACAAAATCCAACTGAATGAAATATTTTATAATTGAACCAATTAAAAAAATATGTTGATATACTACTTTAAATTATGTTATAATTGAATCCAAATCAAAATCAAAAACGAACTTTTATATAGAAAAATACTTTTCTCGAAACATTAAAATGACAAAATATACATCTTCATTTATACGTTTTTTATTAATTTTAAATAAAAATTGGAAGTACCTTTTAAAGGCTTTCCAAAAAACCGTCTAATGGGCCTGTGAAGAAACATGTTGCCCTGAGGAAGCCTTTTACTCGAATAGGGTTTCTCATAAAGGAAGCCTCCATTTCTCTCAAAAGGTTCAAAAGATTATAATTCTGATACAAGTTATATAATATTTATCTTAAAATGATATTTGATATGGAACAACATCGATGAATATTTTTTTTTATCTATTCTTTATCTATGTCAGAGATAAAATATTGGTTTCAACGAAATAACGTTTTACTATTCTTTCATTTTCAACAAATGATTTTCACTTAAATTTTTTTTATCTATTTTCTTGTCTTTTTTATTAGTGTATTCATGATAGATATTATTATTTAAGCACGATCGAATATAATTTGGTAGTAAAATGACAACTTCCATTGGTTTGATGTATTATTTATTATAGATATTAGCTCTTGGTCATATCAATTATATTAGATAAATAGACTGCTTAAATTATTCGTGAATATGGATATATAAATTTCATTATACACATTTTTATTTCAAGTTGTGTAAGCAGATTTACGTTAATGAATTCGGTTGGTCCAACATTAAAATAATAACCGGAAATAACTAAATGGGGAAATGATTTCAAGCCCTCGAATGATTGGATCATGTGATGAGGTTAGGGAATTAATTATCTATAATAAACTGTAATCACCGAATCGAATGATTAATCGCCACCATCATAAAGTAATTATTTTAGATATTATGGGTAATTAGGAATCATGATAACGTAGACAACTATTAGGAATGCTAAAGTTCATTGGATAATATATTTTAATGCAACAATGAGAATTTTGGTTCTACAACAATATGATGATGAATGATGAATGATTATGCATTTTGATATCATTAATTTGTTCTATTTTTTAATTTATAGGCAGGAATTTTCGATTTGGATATACAAAATCCAACTGAATGAAATATTTTATAATTGAACCAATTAAAAAAATATGTTGATATACTACTTTAAATTATGTTATAATTGAATCCAAATCAAAATCAAAAACGAACTTTTATATAGAAAAATACTTTTCTCGAAACATTAAAATGACAAAATATACATCTTCATTTATACGTTTTTTATTAATTTTAAATAAAAATTGGAAGTACCTTTTAAAGGCTTTCCAAAAAACCGTCTAATGGGCCTGTGAAGAAACATGTTGCCCTGAGGAAGCCTTTTACTCGAATAGGGTTTCTCATAAAGGAAGCCTCCATTTCTCTCAAAAGGTTCAAAAGATTATAATTCTGATACAAGTTATATAATATTTATCTTAAAATGATATTTGATATGGTGGATACATTCCCCATTTGAGTTTTGAGATTGTGTAAACAGACATAGCGAAGATACATACAATCAAGTAATGATCTTTTTGTCCGTATATTGATTCATTCAACGAGACAGGGACGCTAATTCTGCTTTTACATTGAGATTAAAAAAATAAAAAAGACAACAGAAAAAGACAAAGCTTCTATGAGTTACAAAAAGGGGTTTAAGCGTTTGTATGAAAGTTTCTGTCTTTTTACATAAATCCCAACCTTAAACCACCAATTAGTATACTGACCCACTCAGTGATCAATCAATCCTCTTTCAGTTCCTGCTCAGAGAGAACAAAGGCTAAGCATCTCACTCCTCTGCTCGTTTAGCTTTATCTTCAGGCTTGTGATCTTTGGATGTGACGACCGTATACTCCTACAAGTTCACCAAAGTTTTCAGATTTTACGATCAGCAGCTACCGTAAAAGACGAGCCTTGATGGCTATGGCTATGCTCGATGAGAATCGTTTACCTTTTCCATGTTTTCGTCAGACTGATAGCGTTCACTCTCGTGACTAACACTGATTTCTCGGTCCTCTTGACCAGATGGCCTTCCGTTCACCGACACTAAACCATCAGTGGATTCTTGAACTGCATAAGATTCGGCCTTTCCATTATTTCTTCCGGCTGCATCGGTTCCAGACTCCATTTCCTTACTGGCTGTATTAGATTCCCCGTCTTGTGCTAGAGCGGCCTCAGCTTTAAGCTTCTCTTCTCTTTCTCGCTTTCTCCTTGACTCTTCCTCTTTCAACCGCCTAAATCTGGATTCACATTAATGTTAATACTACACCCAGTTAATATTTTCTCCAAACAGCGGTGTTAATATTGTAATAAGCTTGCCTTTCACCAGGTTTAGGCCCTTCTGCCTCTGGGGTTGCTTTTTCACCATCTCTATTTTCTTTCGAGATTTTCAACTCTGGAACAGACTTCTGAACTTGCGGTCTGTCTTCCTTCAAGACCAAATTAGTGAACTTCTGCACTGGATTCCTCGCACCGCCGAATTTTTGAAGCCATACTTGTTGAGCCGTGCTCAGAATGTTGTTGGTCAACCTGCATAAGCATTTTTTGAAAATTGAGGCAAGAACAGGAGGAAAGCTGACCCTCGTGAGAAATGAAAAATCAAGTAGCCGCTCACCAATAAAGGCTTAAACCGGAAGGAACTGAAAGAGAAAAATAACCGATCATCAGGGGAAGGAATTTCGTCACCGCTTGTGAGTTCTTCATATTCGGATCATTATTCTGGAACAAAGAAGATGAATTGTTAGTGTATCATAAGTTCCATGTTTTAAAGGATCCATTTTTTAGTTCGCGTTGGATTTAGATGGGTTTCAGAAACATTCAACATCGTTTTAAAGAAGGCAACAAGTGTGAGTAAGAGCAACAAGAGATAACATTGACAGAGATTAACAACCATCTTATTTTCTCCAAGTGGTGAAAACTAGACTTATATATGTCAGTAAAGAAAAAAAAATACCTGCGATGACTGCATAATCTGAATGGAAACATACTGCGAGATGACTAGCAACAGGGGCAAGACAAGATATGCCAATGTGTCTGACCATCCAAGAGGAGGGTGGCCATCCTGATGAAACATGGAAATTAGTGTATATCAGAAAGATCCCTAAGTGATGAACGGCAGAAGAAACTCTTCATCAAGTTTTCTCTATTTCAAGTCATTTGCCAGATTTCCAAGTCTATGCATGATCAGTCTCATACATATCATACTAGCAAGTAGAAAGTGACAATCTCAATATATCGGCACCGCTTTATAGGGAGCTTCAAGCAAGATGCTTACAACAAAAGGGAACAACCAAGAGATTCCGCTGCCATTCTGTCGAGAAGCAATGGTTGTTGGACCGGCTAGGGAGGGAATCCAGAAGAAGCCTTCAGTAAGGAGTCCCTTAGAATTTGAAACAAGTATCAGGTTACAAATCAGAACAAAGTTTTTCGGGTAACTACATGAATGAACAAAGAACAAGGAATGTCCAGAAAACCTCATCTGCCACATTTGAGAGGGCTCTATATAACCCAATCCAGACAGGTATAGTAGCCAGTGTCGGGAGGCAGCCTACCAGAGATCATACAAACATATTAGAAAAAAAAAATAACAGATAAAATAACTTTTGGGCACATGATGGAAGAGTTTCATCTTTAAAAACACACATTTAACCAAGCTGCATCTGCATGTCCAAAATCCGAGAGGTTGACATGGCAAATCAAATGAGAATATGATTACTTCCAAGAATATACATTACCTGCTAAAGGATTTATTCCAGCAAGTTTATACAATCTAGCAGTTTCAAGCTGGATTCTCTCCTGCAAGATAGAGGAAATCTTAAGTGAGATTACATTTGTCTATTTCAGTTTCGAACTATATATGGCTATATATTTACATGTTCAAGTCAAATGCATCAATTAGTATCATTTATGATGACAAAGCTCCACCAGAACACCAAGTTTTTAGCTTTCCTTAAAGCTAATAACTCATACTCAGCATGAACATGATTTAGCATGGCTCTGATTTCAAGTTTACACAAGCAACCAGTACAGTAAGGAAAGAGATAATCTGAAATAGACATAAAAGAAGACATTTTAGGAATCCGAAAGAAATGCATTCACCTGATCACCGGCATACCGTTCCTGGATGGCCTTTATTTGAGGCTGGAGAGACCTCATAGACATAGCAGATTCCACCTGTTGAGAGTGAAAAAAGAAACACAGAGTTCACTTTCTAAGAACCAAAATTCCTAAAAACCCATCACCAATCCACAATCGAGAACAGCAGATCAACGAAATATTTTTCCGTGGCAAACATTTGATTAGGAAATATACCAAAATCAAACCTGTTTTTTAGTCAATGGGAACGTTGCAGCCTTAACTAGAACTGTAAGCAGTATGATAGCGAAACCATACGCATAAGGTACGTGCAAAGTCGAGAGCCCATCTTTCAAAACCTGCAGTTCAACTCAACCAAATCAATCAAATCACACGAATTCAATCAGAATCGCCGAAAGAAAGAAAAAAAGGCTAAAGACTTTACCTTCAGAACAGTTTCCATGTAATTGGTTATACCAGACAGCCAATCATTGTTCTGTCCAGTTGTAGTAGACGTAACAGCATCAACACTGTCCGACGAGGAAACGGCGGCATCGGCGATTGTATACAGAATACTCTCGGCCCGAGTAAGCAGCTCTCTGAGAGAATCGAGAGAGTCACCCGGGTCGGGAAACGAGCCGGGTCTGAACCCGAACTGAGCAACCAGGGTCCGGCCACGAAACGAGGGTCTTTGGTCGGAGAATCCGCCGGCGAAGCGGGAGCGGTGGAAACGGGGGCTACTGCTTCTGGTGAAGGGAGACAGGATGATGTTCGGCTTCAGGGAAATGGAAGAAGCCATCTCCGGCGAATTGCAGGAGAATTACAAGGTTCGGGGAAAAGGGTTTTTGCGGTGAATTTAGGGTTTTTGGGGAGTGGAAATATCTGGGAATTTGGTGTCAGCGATTGCTCATGCTTCGCGTCTTAGTGCGCAAAGGACGAGCGGAGAAGAGGAGCGACTACCTGTTAAAACCAATACCTATATGGTCGATCTTTTTTTAAATTTTTTTTATTCAAATTCAATATGATTATTTAATAATAATAATAATAATAATAATAATAATAATAATAATAATAATAATAATAATAATAATAATAATAATAATAATAATAATAATAATAAAATTAATAATAATAATAATAATAATAATAATAATAATAATAATAATAATAATAATAAAATCATTACAGTGTGCAATTTTTTCCATTTTAAAGTATGATAAAAATCCTAATTGGTAAAGGGGAAAATGGCCAAATCCTAATTCGTGTTCCTATGGGTTTTGTTTACTTTGAATGCCAAACATTGAATATTTCGTTTTTCGTTTATGTTTTTTTTTTTTTACTTTCTGAGTTTTCTTTCAGAAAATTGTATTCATGTAATTTTATATTACAAAATGTTAATTTTCTAAAATATTGTTGGTTTCCATCGATTATTTTTTTATATTGATTTTGAATTCAATTGTCCTCTAAAATGAATTATTAGATTTGGATTAGCTTGGAATACGGTTGTCTATTTACTTAAAAAATGTGAAATAAATAAAAGGAAACGGATAATCAAACCCCCCCGTGACCCTAAACAACTGCAAGAATCTTTTTAGTGACAACAAGTGTTTAATCCACGCATAGAACGACTAAATGAATGATGAGAGAAAGCAAGTCAAAAGAAATGTTATATATATGGAAAATTTATATAAAAAAAAACACCCCTCAATTTATAAATTACCAAATAAATATTCCAATTTGGTCAATTTGTACCAAATAAATACCAATTTGGTAACTACTTACCGTAGATTGACGTTATTACCCTATTTATTTGGTATAAATCGATCGAATTAAGATATTTATTTAGTAATTTAGAAATTAAGATATATATAGAATATGATCTTTTGGGCCTATGGGTCATTCTCTTCTCCAATTAGATCTTTGTTTAGTTGGGCCTTCGTTGTGATTTTGTGAATGGTCTTTTATGGGCTCACAAAATAAACCATTGATCAGGCCAGCCCTGTAGAAATATATTACCCTTTCTAGGAAAAGAAAATGCCAATAAAAATAAAATAAAAAATTTAAAACAAAAAAGGATAAGAAACCAAGATCATGTGGGGCATAGATTATGAGGTTCGAATCTCACCATAATCTCCAATCCTTGGGATAAGAGAACAATCCAGATTTTCTCATTCCTCATTGGCCCTCGTTTCTTCTCCTCCTATATTCTCAAAATCTCTCTCTCTCTCTCATTCACGCACCTCCGATCACAGTTTCAAACGATGGCGGCGACTATGGCGACATCAACCAAGTGCATGTCCCTCAGCCCACCTCCTAAATCCCTCAACCCGTCGAAACCCATCTCCTCAAAACCCACAATCTCCCTCCCCAACCCACCAAAACCCACAATCTCCCTCGCCGCTACCTCCTCCGCCGTCGCCGGCGCCGTCTTCTCCGTCCTCAGCTCCACCGAACCAGCCTTCGCCGTCCAACAGATCGCCGATCTCGCCGAGGGGTCCGACAACCGCGGCTTGGCTCTCCTCCTCCCGATCGTACCGGCGATCGGATGGGTCCTCTTCAACATCCTTCAGCCCGCGCTCAACCAGCTCAACCGCATGAGAAGCAGCAAGGGAGTCATCGTCGGTCTGGGCATCGGCGGCGGCTTGGGGATGATGGTCTGGCCGCCAGAGGCCTCCGCCGCCGTCAACGAGATCGCGGCGGTAGCGGAGGCGACGACCGGCGACAACAGGGGACAGCTGCTGTTATTCGTGGTTGCGCCGGCGTTGCTTTGGGTTGCTTACAATATACTGCAGCCGGCACTGAACCAGCTTAACCGGATGAGATCCGATTGATCATTATCTTATATAGTACTATATTAAATTCCCATATTTAAATGTAAAATCCACGAAGCTTTATCCTTGTTTTATGGACAGTTTTATGTGCAAGTTTTTGACTTACCTAATTTAGGGCTTACCTATATTATAAGCTAAATAATCTCAGCTAGTGCTTGTATTCATCCAGTTATACGACCAAAATTTCAGTACGAGAAACACCATAACAAATGACACAAAAGATGTGATTTTGCAAGATGCCCTGTTCTCGGTTCAGACAGGGATTAGCAAAAGTTGTGGCCTTGTCCTCGAAAATGAAAGCTTTCAGAGAGGTGAAGGTGAAAGAAGAGCCGAGAAATGGGAAGAGATGACTTAATTTACTTGGGCTTGGCTATCAGGAACACAGTCAAAAGGAAGAGCCTCATCATCATCATCATCATCGTCACCATCAGGTTGTGACTGAGAAGCTGTTAGTTTAGCCTTCTTGAACCTGCTTGAGCTTCTCAAGATCTTCTCCAAGCTCATCATGTCTTTCCGACCAGATGACCTGCTCAAAGTTATCAACCATCTTCTCAACAAAAGTTTCGGTTTTTCTAAGCACAGAGATCAAGAAAAGCTTTGTCGGATCATGTAAACTACTAATACTAAACAATGCATTTAAGACATCAGTTAATTGTTCACTTACATGTCTGTTTCTCCATTGCCTTCCCCACCAAAGACACGATTTCCTGCAAATGCCAAGTTGATGGTCGTGAAATTATTACACGAAAGAGTAGACTGAATGTGATTTCAGAGTAGTAATCGTTTACCAGTCTTTTGAGACATGAAAGTTGCATCACTCTCCTCCTCTGTGTAGTCTGATGACGCATCCAATGGTGTTCTTGTGGAGGAGCCTGAAAGCTTCGGTTCATCTTCTTCAGAATTCAAGTTATCGAAAATTCCACCTGATATACGGAAAGTATTCTTCTTTCGAACTTTCGGGTTACTCTTATTCCCCTGCCCGCTGAAACTCTTCACAACTTCCTTCTTGTTGGCTGTGCCCTTCACAGAGTTGTTAACAGCATCCGGGATTAAAGCTTTTGAGTCTTTTTTCTCACGCTTATGAGACACATCATCAATGGCTCCAATTCCCAAATTTTGGCGATCCTTGTTTTGTAGTGATACAACACTACCATTCTTAACCTTTGACGAGATTTGACTATTGCTTGAGCTAGCTGGTTGAGCTCTTTTACTGGTAGAACGTTTATTATTTGGCTTCATTGAGCTTTGTGATTCATCAATGGAACCCTCAGGATGCTTAACCGACGTTTCCTTCTTCTTCTTCGTCTTCTTCTTCTTCTCATTATTAGGTTTAGCTGCAGGTTCAGCTGCTCCAGTTCCATTGGCAACTCGATCGAGCTTCTTATCACTGGAAACTATACCATGATCAGTTCGGGTAATATCGAAATTGTCTCCCGTAAATGCATTCTCCTTTTCACGGCCAAGTTCAGCTTGATTAGAAAGGTTACCCTTTCCATTGCCATCGAGCTCATGCGACGCAGTATCTCGGGCCGAATCAAATACCTCTGTATTCTTCTTGGAAAGCAAAGGATCACCATTTTCAATACCGTTATCATTCTCAAACCCCAAAATGGTTCGACTTGACTGTCTTGTGGCACTAGTTTTTCCCGGTATAGATAATTCAACCATTTCCTTCAAATAGTTGGTGGACACCATGGGAGCTGCCTCGTTCTCAACAGCTTTATTTTCCTGTACCAACGGTCCTTGACTATCAACCACATCCAAAGGCTGTTTCTTTTTAGTTTTCTTCCTTGATTTCTTTTCCACTTTTTCCAAGTTCTCCTCGTTTTCCTTGCTTTGCTGCAAAGATTGTAGAACATTTCTAATAACACTATCAGTTCCCTCACCACCATCTACAACTTTAACAGGTTCAGCTGAAGAAATACCAATTCCAGAACCTTCAACATGCTCTTCGACTGGGGTCTTGGCCTTTTTCAACTTTCTCTTGCGCTGTGAAGACTTTGCATCCTTAACCTCATCAGCATTTAGCTCGACATTTCCCTTATTAGCTGTCGCTTCACTGTCATTCTTTGCAGTCAACGTTCCAGGGTTAGCATTTTCAAGCATCGGAGTTGCATTTTTTCCCTCATGGCCAATGTTCTGAATCTGATCACTGTAATTCCCGATCAGGTCAAGCTTTCTGGATTCCTGAACCGAGAGAAGAGGGGTGCTTCTGAAATCAGCAGTTTGAAGATTATCCGCAGCAGCACTTAGTATAGTCAATCTGCTTCCGACTGCATCTTCGACATTTTTCTCAACCATTTCAGTTTCTGCAGAACATCAGCAATTGTATCAGAAGTAAATCTACCGAAACCCTCCATGAAATCTGATCAGAGATAGAATAAACTAATTCAACGAAGAAAAATAAAGTTACCCTTTTCTATTGTTGCTGTAAGAGGTTCATCTAGCTTTTCTCTAGGTGAGATTGCACAAGATTCAGAACCAACAATAGCAAGATCTGCTTTTCCAGACACCCCATTATTCCCCTCCAAAAGATCTCTTGAGGGAATTGTAGAAGCAGCAGCAGATACATCGGAAAATTTTGATGATCTCTTTCGTTTTTTCTTCTTATCTGCAGTTGGACTGGCATCAGCACTTAGTACAGCCACTCTGCTTCCGATTGCATCTTCGACATTTTTCTCAACCATTTCAGTTTCTGCAGAACATCAGCAATTGTATCAGACGTAAACCTACTGAAACCCTTCATGAAATCCGATCACAGAGAGAGAATAAACTAAATTCAACGAAGAAAAAGGAACATACCCTTTTCTATTGCTGCTGTAAGAGGTTCATCTAGCTTTTCTCTTGGTGAGATTGCACAAGAATCAGAACCAACAATAGCAAGATCTGCTTTTCCAGACACCCCATTATTCCCCTCCAAAAGATCTCTCGAGGGAGCAGCAGCAGCAGCAGATATATTGGAAAATTTTGAGGATCTCTTTCTTTTTTTCTTCTTATCTGCAGTTGGACTGGCGGTCAAGCCACTGATAGCCTCCAAATGATCATTAGCTATTTCAGCTGCATCAAGATTTGAAGCTTTCGGTCCGTCCGGCATTGAGCGCTGCGGGCTAATAACATCAGGCTTGGCGGCAACAACAGAATCCTCCTTCCCATGTTTCTTTCCTACTTTTCTCCTTTTCCTAGCTGGAGTTTCCGGAATTGAAGCTTCTTTGACAGAGACAGCATTCTCCACAGCATTTTCATTATGTTTATGCTGACTGACATCTGCTCCAGCATCAATTGAGTTGACCTGGAAGTCAGGATTCTCTCTTACAACCATAGAATGCTCAATCGCAACAGGAGCTGCACCATCAAGATGCTCAGACTCAACATTTCCATTGCCCTCCACATTGGCAGATACTTTTTCTGCAATGCTCTCAGTCTTTTCATGGGCATTGGTAGCTGATGTCAGAGCAGACACACCAGATGGTCCATCGGTTTCCAGAACATGGTATTCTGAAATCTTAGTTTCCCTTTTAGATATACGTGTTCTCTTTGTAGTCATAGCTAATTCAGATCCCGAAGCTTCCTCAAGACTTGGATTTTGTTGTACATCCATAACCTCATTCCGGGTACTTCCACTTAGAAATTCTGAACCTGTTGCGTCATCTTTCTCTTTCTCGAGAAACTTAGGATCTAAATTATTGTGGTCAGCAGCAGCTGATTTTTTCTGATGCTCAGCTTCAATATTCATGACAGAATGTGTCTCAGGGTAATGAACATCTGGATGATTGTCATGACCGTGTTCAGCTTCCATATCAAAATCAGTCGCGTGTTCTTTGTCAGCACCAGATAGGCAAACGGATGGTTTGGATTTTACAAGCTGATGATCACTCTCCTGTTCACACAGCTTTCCAGACGGACCAAGCAGAAAAGGTTCGACCACATTACTCAAGTACTTAACTTGCTTGCCATAATCAATACATTGGAGCTGCAGATTCTCACCCTCCTTCTCAACTTTCCGGGCATCGAGAAAAAGAAACCAGCTTTTACTGATGCCCTCGAAAGCCTTGACCACGAACATGGTATCTGAGAGGTGATAAAGGTGGCCTCTGCGTTTCACCTTGAAGGAATGTCGTAAACACAAACAAAAACAACAAGACACCATTCAGCCATTGATCAGAAAAGGGTCATGAACGATTCGCGAAACACATACCTTCAAAGCAGAGATTTCAATGTCTCCGACATCTGGAAAACAAAGCCGGTGAGCCTCGAGCAATTTCTCTGCAGGTAAACAGATGTTATTTCCATAACCAGGGAATCTCCACCCAACACAGATTTTGGCACATTCAGCTACTGCAAATAGAGAGTGCACAGAGTTCGAAATCCAAGACTAAGTAAAACCCTCGTCACTGATCCCCAAAAAACCACCATTAGCAACTGAGAAACTAAACAAATAGGAAAAGCATATGAAGGACAAACCAAGATATCGCTACACGGAAAAGCACGAGAAATTCTCATTCATGCAGTCAAAGAGATAGATTAAGAAGAGAAGAAAGGACTCCACTTTTAAAATGAGAGACGGTATCGCTGTCGTCGAGGAGAGTGACGAGGTGAGTGCCGAGGCTGGTGTCGATGAACACGGTTTTGCCACCTGGATGTACGAAGCCCGCGTTCAGATTAGTCATCGAGTTGACTCCGAGTTGAATCGGTGTCTACAACTCGAAAACTCAGAGCACAAGAAGAAGAAGAA